CATATTTGCTGCAGGATGTAGCAATGATCTCTTGGGCCTCTGTGTATGGATCACAGCTCAGCATTTATGTCATGTTTTAACATAACTGGTGCTCATGAAGTAACTAATTTAACACTAGCTCCTTTGTGCACATACAATTTGAAGTGTCCTAGAGGAAGTTGGAGTTCTGAACCACTGCATGCTTATCGGGATGGTTCATTTCCCTGGTCCATGTGCCTGCTGCAGCTAAAGGTTACAGGTTTGCATTCCGCACATTCCAGCACACCAAAGTGAATGCTGCACATTGACGTAATTTTGAGCAAAGAAACCTTGTGTTTGTCTTTTTTTTTTTTTCATAGACTTGGCAGTGTCAGGCTGAGTTCAAGCTAGGTTTACTGACCTGACTTAAAATACTGTTTTAAAGTTTAGAAAGCACTGTTGATTCTTTGGAGGCGAGAACAGTTTGTGATCTGCAGCCAGCAAGCAAGGCAAGATTTGTAGTGGGGATAGTACTTTGTAATAGGCCAGCTGGCATTGTTGGGAGAAACAGATGTGTGTTTAGATACATGAGTGTTTCAAGTCTCAAATAAGATCAGTAAACTTGTAATTAAGTACACACTAAGAGCAGTTGTTCAATTTCAATTATAACTTTGATTGTACTAACCAGTTAGACACTGAGGGTGAATGGGATGCCTGTACCTGTGTGTGTAGCAGGGTGGGATGTTGACTGGTAATGATATTTTTGCCTCTGTGTCTTAGTTGGGTACTACCTCTGGGACACAGAAGAAGCAGAGACGAGGTGTGCTGTGAAAGTCAGGTTAACAGACTGTTACTTTAGCTAAAGGTGTAGCTGGGCTTTGTTCCTAGTCCAGCCATTTATCCCCACAGAAGACCCCTGGGCTGCTGCTGCTCTGCAGGATGTGGTGCTGCAGCAGTGTCCAAGAAGCAGTCTGTGCAAAGAGTAAATCTCCCAAAAGGTGACTGTAGTGATCCCATTTACACCATGATGTGAGAGGTGAGTGAGTGTGCCTGAGGGATCAGGGAGCAGGAGGGCAGGAATTTCCTAAGGTTATTTTGGCACTAAAAACAACATCTACATCTCTGAAGTTTGTTGTTTTAGTATTCAGAGAAGTGGTGGTTTTCATGTTTTGTAAGAGTCTGCAGGTTGGGACATAAAGCTTAAAGGTGGGGTGGTAGTTTTGTGGCACTAGAACTTATGTCGTGCCTGTTGTGAAGTGATGTAGCTAAGTCAGAAATTGAATATAACAGCTCTTTGAAGCACTACACTGACTATTCCAAAGGAAGAACAAGATTATTATTGGTAAGTGTTTTAAAGACAGTGATTTGAGTGGTAGTACTGCTCAGGAAGTGAATAGGAAGCTAAGTTCTGGCTGTGTGGAAGCAGTCAGATCACCTAAGTAAGATTTTTGAATTCTGTTAGTTTCTTTTCCCTTTATGCAGCACAGTGTATACATACACATTTACTGTTTCTGAGCACAGAAGCTTGCCACACATTTAATGATTGTCACAAAACAGTGTACTTGAATTGATAATGTGCTAAAACTTATTTTGTGCTGACCGTGACTGAGTACAGATGAGTTAAGTTACTTTGAGCTGCTTAGAGACAGGGCCTACATGAATGCCTGTCGGATTAAAAGCAAAGCAAATCTGAAGTAATATTCAATCTAGTTGTACAAAGTCTTTGGTACTGCAGCACTTGCCTTCAAACTGCTTGTGCCTCATAGTGGCTAACATTCCCTTTTCTTTGGAAGTCCTGAAATGCTCTTGTTTGAATTCTCACCTTGTCTTGGGGTCGGTGCTTGGGCAAGACTTGTGAATTCCCACACGTTCCCACTATGAGAATGCTCACTGGAACAACCATTCTCTCCAACTGTGAGTGTCTGAGCAAAGTTAAGAACAACTCAGATGCACACTGAAGTGTCCCACTGAGAATATTTTACTTCTGAAACGTATCTTTAAATTTCTTTGTGTTTGTTTTGACCTTTGAAATACTCTGCTGTAGCGTGGGGCAAGGCAAGATGTGTGTGCATGGGGACTGGGGAGGAGGAGCTGTGCTGTCATCAGCTGCAAGAGAAAAGCAGGCTGCTGTTTCTTTGACACCAGAAGTCCATCCCTGGTAGTGGAATTGCCAGTGGTGTATGAGTCAAGGACAAATGGTAACTTTTCAGCTGCAACCCATGTATCACTTTATTTATATGCCTTAATCTCCAGCCCTGAAGATTCCCAATGCACTGTGTGTTTAGTTTGTGGTTCTTAATAGCTTGGGAATGTAGCACCCCACACGTTAGGATCTAACTGCTGCTGTCAGGTGTATCTGATAATCGATAGTAAGACAAAAAAAAGTGTCATTTTGAAATGACAGTCCACAGATGTCAGACGTGAGGTGAAGTTGTTCTGTCTCAGCCCTTTCCTCTCTTTCATGACTATGATTTACTGCAGTTATAAAAGTGCCCTCTGCAACTAAAAGATTAAAAAGGAGAATTGAACTCCTCTATGACCTGTCTGGGCTTTAGCATGCCCATCTTTTCATGTTGGAAATACTTTCATCTTGCTTAAATTACCTTCTAAAAATATTTGACGTTTTCACTAGCTTCTTAGCTCCAAATAACTGATGTTGTTTCCCCTTCCCAGCCCACCTCTTTTGATTGCTCTGAAAATAACATGCATATGCATACAGCATCCTTTGGCAGCACTGCAGCCTGTGTAGGAGCCACTTGTTTGAATGGTGGCATGTCAGAGGAACGAGGGGCAAAGTCAGCTACAGAAGTGACTTAACAGAGCACTATCCCGTGTTCATGGCAGGCACCCTGCTCCTGTAATAAATGTAAATGAATTTATTGCACATCACTGCCTTCCGCTATTTTGTTTTAAATTCTGTAACCAGATCAAGGTCAAGGAAGCAAAAGATGAAAGGGAAAGGAAGCCTGAAGAGGGGAGAGGCGGGCAGGAAGGGGAAGCAGGACAAGCAATGGTTTGAGGGGAATCTGGAGGAGGTGAGCAGAATAGAGCTCTCAGATGGGAGGGATGAGCATTACTCATTCAGATGAATGGAGAGGGAAGATACTGGTTGGTCTTCCAGGCATTTAAGCAGTGAGAGAATCGCTTATTTGATTTTTTTTCTCCTTGTTTACCGTTATGTATTGGTGCTATTTCCAAATGTCAGATCTGCTGTTGGCTGTCCTTGTGCATGTGTTCATCTTTTCAAACCCAGTTCCTGAGCGCTGGTTCTGGGCTTCTGAGGTGCCAGCGTGTTGCTGTAGCTACTCAGGAATTCAGAAGGCATGGTATCCTAAGGCCATTCTAGAATATGCTGTTACAAGATTTTACTGCAGTGTTTTGGTCTGAGATCAATTAAATATGATTTTCATTTGATTCATACTGGAGATCAAACAGTCTGGATCTTCGGAGCCTCTTGAGGTCAATATGTTTTCTTTGACTGAGGAGTGTTTTGCTTGTGCTTAACTTCTTCTTTTGCAGTAGTGTGAAATTTCATTTCAAATCCAAATGGCGTTTATAGTTTCACTCAGGCTTTATATATATTAAGTGTTGGTCTGTTCTCCTCTATGTGAAAGGGTTTGCAGTATCAAAAGTGAAATCAAAGAAAGAAGAAGCCCTGTAGAACAGGGTTGGCTCTGATAGCTGCCATTTAAATACGTGCTGAGATTTGTGGTAAGTTGTTCCAAATTTGCAGTGCTCTTTGTATCTAAAAAGCTTCAGACGAGCAGTTTGCAAAAGTGATGCAGCTTTGTATACGTGTAAGGGGAAAGCAAAAGATGATGTGAATAAGCTGACTGACTCCAGGAAATAATCAGATCCAATTATGTTACTGATGTTCAACCACCAACTTTACCAGATGATGTTTCTGTATCATGTTAATTGTGTGAGTCACATAGAACACAGAAGACTGCATGGAAGCTTGGGGGCCTTAAGAAGGTATAACATTACAGCTTGTTTTTCCTTTACAGTGGAATAATTCAGAAACAGTTTGAGTGAACATACGAACTCAGTTAGGCTTGGGCTTGTTTTTTTTGTATATGTTCTATTCTCTGCTAGCTGGGACAGCTTTGGTGGCCACAGATGTTCCCATGCAGGGCAGGGGATCTCTAGGCATACTGCACCTAGCATGGCACAGTGTTTTTCTGTATTACAGAGGAACTAAGTCGTGGATCAGCTTCATCAAAGCAGAGGCATTGTGGTTTGGGATACAGATGCAGCCTTAAAACTCTGCCAGACTGTGGGGCATACGGTCCCTTCTGGTCTTTGAGGACATTGCCCAAATCCCATGCATGTGCTTCTACACATCGAAGAGAATTGGTCCCTAAGAAGGCAGTTGGGTTTTTTTGTAAGAAAGTTGCATGCCTTGTTTATTTTTCACATATATAAAGCAGCACTGGGCAATCAGTACCTGCCGTACAGCAGTAAAGCAGAGCTATTGGCAACAATTATTTTATGTTTACTAGCTTGACCTCTGCCCTCTGAAAATTCATGCTATAGTTTCTCTAAAACTCTTTTGCTATTAAATGCCTTCTCTGGGATATTTGCCTGCTCCTTAACACTTGTAAGTGGGCCAATAAAATGTCTATTCTGCTTAAAAGAATGATTTGACAAATTCTCCCAGGCTTAAGAGCTGTGAGCAATAGTTTTCTGAGTCCAGAAAAAAAAAGAGGGGGGATTTTTTACACAGGTGATGGTTTCAAAGATGCTTTCTTTTCAGTGCTAGGTACTTCTAATTCCCTCAGCTGTGCTCAGTTTGTTTTGACTGGACAGTAGCAGAAACGTGGCAGATGATATTAGTGATAGACTGCAAATAATTTTGTCTGCGTTTTTGAAAATTACAAGTAAGTATTTGCATTTCTGTAGAGTTAACCCACTATATAGTCTGGATCTTAAAAGAAACAACGACCCTAAAGTATTCTGGTGAATTTTCTGCATGCAATCTTATGAAGCCTCTTAACTTCTGCTTCCAGAAATGAAAGTGACAGCTTTTCTTTTTGTTTTAGGCTACCCCTGATCTCTCATATGTGGAAGGAACGCTGGCAGAAAGGTGTAAAAATGGGTGTTAAAACATTCACTCATAATTCCCCTGCTCACAGTCAGGAGATGCTTGGAAAGCTAAACATGCTTCGCAACGATGGACATTTCTGTGACATCACCATTCGTGTCCAGGACAAAATCTTCAGGGCTCACAAGGTGGTGTTGGCAGCCTGCAGTGACTTCTTCCGCTCCAAACTCGTTGGCCAAGCAGAAGATGAGAGCAAGAGTGTCCTGGACCTGCACCATGTGACAGTGACTGGTTTTATTCCTCTTCTGGAGTACGCTTACACAGCAACGTTGTCCATTAACACAGAAAACATCATTGATGTGCTGGCAGCAGCCAGCTATATGCAAATGTTCAGTGTTGCTAGCACATGCTCAGAGTTCATGAAGTCGAGCATTTTATGGAATACGCCCAACAGCCAGCAAGAGAAAGTGCTCGATGCAGGACAGGAGAATAATGCAAACTGCAATTTTACTTCTCGAGATGGCAGCCTTTCTCCAGTTTCTTCTGAATGCAGTGTAGTGGAAAGAGCCATTCCTGTTTGCAGAGAGTCACGAAGAAAGCGCAAAAGCTACATCGTTATGTCTCCTGAGAGCCCTGTCAAGTGTAACACACAAACAAGTTCCCCCCAAGTGCTGAATCCTTCAACTTCTTACCCAGAGTCCAGAAATCAGCCCGTAGACTCCTCCTTAGCTTTTCCGTGGACTTTTCCTTTTGGAATTGATCGAAGGCTTCAGTCTGAGAAAGTGAAGCAGGTGGAGAACTCTAGGACTTTGGACATGCCTGGGCCCTCGGAGTCAAACAGGAGAATTGCAGATTACGTGACGTGTGAGAGCACAAAAGCCAATTCGCCCCTTGTGATCGAAGAAGACGTGCGCGTCAAAGTGGAAAGGTTAAGTGATGAGGAGGTTCATGAGGAAGTGTCACAGCCTGTTAGTGCATCCCAGAGCTCTCTGAGTGACCAGCAGACAGTCCCAGGAAGCGAGCAAGTTCAGGAGGATCTCCTGATCAGCCCACAATCGTCCTCTATAGGTATGACCATTCCTGGGGTTAGATACATGTGCAGGTAGATGAGTGCACGTATAATAGTGATAATCGTGAGGTTATGAGGGGAAATCTGCTAAAGTTCAAGTTTTACTATATTTTTTATCTATTTAATGTTACATATAAACCATGGTGGGAGAATGGGACTTACAGCTTTGGAAATAACTGTGAAACACAGCTGAGGTAAGCCTGGTGGTAGACTTCTTGATTATTCAGAAGAGATTGATAACCCCATTTTACCTCTGGTTGCTTGACTGCAGAAACAGAAATCTTGTTTGCAGAGGTATCACAAGGCATGAGCTCAGTTAAATTGTATCACCAAGTTTGAAAGGCTTATGGCTTATAGCCACAGAGGGACAGAATGGTTCTTTGCATCAGACATGAAATCTTGTGTAGTCATGACAGAGAGCCTTTGTAAGAAGATTTGCAAAATAAGTGGTGAAACACTGTCATCTTAATGTCCCAGACGAAGGCAAAACCACACAGTCATAATATTGAGTATCTTTCCATTTCTGTGGGATTCTGTTCTCAAGTTGCTTCTTCAAATACAGCCAATTGCTGTGAGAAACCTTTTTCCATGAAGGACAATTTGAAGCTAGTTTTGTGTTCTAGCAGGCTGTTGCTTATTAATAGCTAATATTTAAAGGTAGTTACTGTAATAATCTTTTTTTCTCTTTGCACAGAATGCATTGAATGGCTATTAGTAGGTCAGAAGGCAAACATTTTGCAATATAACTAGTTTAATTGCCAAAATTTTGCCCAAGCCAGCTATTTTGCCTTCAGTTAAGTGCCTTGACCTGCGTTTGGTAGAGTTTGTTTACTGAAAGATGTTTAATAAAGCCTATTTTATTAGAAAACCATAAGGGTGCAGAATGTGCTGGTCTGCTTCATCCAAATGATGTTTACATGAAAGGCTATGTCAGTTAATTAAAATAAACTAAAATAAAGTAAATAAATGTAGCCTGCATAAATTCTTTTTCTTTGGTCAGCGCAGCGCTGTGGTGCATTCTCTGCAGGAAGTGGAGCTGAGCATTCTAGGCTTGTCTGTGTTGTTAAACTAGCTCAGGTAATATTCACTAAAAAGAAATGAAAATATCCTCCCTTTGTGCCATCCTTCAGGACTTCAGTCTTGTTTCTGTTTGTCAGTTTATGTGGCTCTTGTGTTGACATTTTAGGTCAGTAATGCTTTTTCCAAATCAGAATGTTTTATTTACTGCAGTGAGTGCTGCTAACCTTTTCTGAGGAGCAGATTTAAGCTTAGAACTGCTGATTCTAACGGAGCTTGGCAAAATAATGCATAGATTGAAAACTAAAAGAAAGTTTGCTTAATGGGTAGTTTCCAGGAAAATTGATCTTTGTTCAAAAACACATTTTGTTTGACTCAGCTGTTCAGTCATTGTAGGAGGAGCACAGAATAGACCTCACCAGGGCCAAGTGATCAGAGATGCAAATTATTACATCAACATAATTGCACTGTGACAGACAAAATAGAACAAGTACAAACGATGATTAGTTGAAGTTAAAAATAGTGTATCGAGTGAAAGGAGGGAATTTTACTAACTAGAAATATCATATCCAAGAGCTTAAGAATAAACAAGGTAGAATTTCTAGACTACAAAAAATCCTGTGAAACATACTGTCATAGCCAGGCACCTTGCTGTACCTTGCTCTTGCTGAGAATTGCTTCAGCTGTTTTCCTCATCTCCGAAATGATTTCTGTTGACAAGTAGCTTTACATGCCCATCCTGAAAAGGTATCTCTTTTGGAGCCATGTGTTGTTTCATGGAAAATCTTGCATTTTCTGTTTCCTATCCTAGGGTTTGTATCACTGAGGTAATAGCTGACCATTTGTACAGTATGGAGTGGAGGATCCCACTGATGATAATTGATCTTATTGATGATAATGTTTAAGGTTAAAATATCTGTTATTGGGGTTATTAGTACAGCATGTTCTTCTTTAAAGGGCTGCATAGAGATACAGTGTGCTAGCCAGCCCTAAATCTTCGATGTGCAAGTCTTTACTTTGTCTTTGAATGGTTGAATTAATATTTAGCAGTCTTTGCATAATATTATTAACTGTCCTGATAACAGTTTTTATTCACATTTTCCTACAAGAGAAACAACGCTGTCATTTTTAGCACAGTTTGCATGTATCAGATATATGATAAGGCGTGCTTGGTAGCTCAGAAAGCACTTTTTACCTCCTGAAGATGTATTTCTTCATGCAGTAATATAAAGAACAGTAAATGGAGGCAGCAAGATATGTTAAAGTACAGCTTTCTCCTCTCTCAACGAATTTTCCTTGTATAATTGCATATATTTATCTCAGTGTTTTATAATGCATTTGTAAAAGTATTCTTGCCTTTCTGATATTGCAAAAAGCTCTTTTTCGCTCTTTGGGCAATTTCAAGAATTACTCATTTGCAATTTATTGTATTTGGAGGCACTTTATAATACAGAAGATGTGAAGCGGGGCCTTGATAAATAAGTCATTATAGCAACAGTAATAGCTATGCCTGAGAAGATACTTTCATAACTCATTAACACAGTTTCCATTGGAGAGGTGAAGGCATAAAATTAAACCTATGAGGAACTGGGATTATTTTTTTAGTCGACTTACTTAAGTATAGCATGAGAAAGAAGGATAGATCAAAATAGAATTAACTGTTGTAACTGCATAGATTGCATATTGCTGACTTTCCCAAATATAGTTTGTCAGCTCATAGGAAAATTAAAAAAATGTTTTTGTACAAGTGTTATTTTGAAACTGCTGGAGATGCACGTTTCCTCCCATCCTCCTATCAGTAGCCCCCGAGAAGGTTTGGGTTGCAGAAGCCTTGTGAAGTAACAGAACTGAAGTTCATTGCTCATGAAGTCTTGAGAACAGATGAAATATACCCTTTAAGTGAAAGTAACATTTCTACTTCGCTCTGTTAGTACTGGATGTGTTTTATAAACTCTGGCTGCATTTAACATAGATTCTTTTCATTTTCTAGGTGTGCCAAATATTTGCCCTTTATTGAGTTGTCCATTTACTAGATAATCTGTGCGGAGGAGAAGTTGAAGTTGGAACACGTTGCTTCTCAGTTTTCTAAGTGATTTTCCCAAGATAATTTTAGTATCTCACCACCCAGGAAGCACTCACTCTCAGAGATTTGGCAAAGCAAGCTGTATGTGTATTTACCTCCCCCCTCAGCCCTTTTTGAACACATATTTGCATTAAGTCGCCCTTCTTTCTTTGCCTAGGCTCAATGGATGAGGGGGTTACAGAGGGATTACCCACACTCCAGAGCACCTCTGGCGCTAACGCTCACGCGGATGATGATGATCGGTATGTACCAATGCAGTGTGCAAACTGTTCTGCAGCAAGTGGTATGTTGTAATTAACCTACCCAGCCCTAATCCCAGAACGTTCAGCTGTTCGTACATATACTTCTCTGTGTTGATCAAAGTACAATCAGTGCCTGAAGGATCGGATGCTTTAGAAGAATGTAGGTGATGAAAGTCAGAGTTTGTTTACTTGTTGCTTTTCATTTCCTGTCTATTTCCAGGCTACACTGGTGAAGAAAGATATTCATGTTTTTGCTGTTTTTTAATCGCTGCTCTATATTAATAAATAATAGTACAAAGATCTTTACTGTGAGGCTTATATGGTTGTTGCATGCGTGCTGAAGCTGACGTAAGGCCACAAAAACAACAAAATGGAATAGCTGATTGTGGCTTGCTCAGACATTTCTGTTGCCATAAAACACAAAGCAGGCAGGGCAACCTTGTAGTTTTTTTCCCCAGACTTTCAGTGTAGCTCTTTACCAGGATGCTTTACATATTCAGCAGCCTTTTGCTGTGTTGAGATGAGTAATTTATTGTGGGAATCCCTTGTAAGGGCAGGCTGGCTTAGAAGTCAGAACTCAGATGGGTCTGTTTAATGAAGGATGTATGGTGGCCCTGCTGGAGCAAAACAATGCACCTGCAGTTGGCTTACAAGAGTGTGCACATTATTTCTTTGCTTTTGTCATATGTGTCAGGTATGGTGTATAGATAGCTGCTCTATTTCTAAGCAAAAGTTTTAAAATATTGACAAGCTAGCTTTCTCACAGTGTTTTGTTAGACAAGTTGATCTGAGAAGTGCCAACCTTTGGGAGTTGTTCCAGAAACTGTGTCAAGTGAAACTCCATGGAGATAACTATGAAGAGCTGCATTTTCGTAGCTCTAAAATCTTCCCTGCCATTTCCATCTAAAACTGCCTCATCGTAGGATTAAATCTGAAGGGAAAATAACTGCCTAGAAATGATTCTGTGTATGACAGAAGATTTTATGGATCTGCTAGAAAACCTCACTGTAAATAAATATCCAATGCCTGGGGTTTGAATTGGTAGTAGGAACACATGTTGCATTCATTAGAGCTAATCCCAGTTTTTTTAGGCTGATTTTAAATTACAAAATCTAGTGACATATGTATTTTCAGCAGTGATTTATTTCAGAAATTTCCCATCAAATTATAGAACTTCCATGCAAACTGAGTGGAAAAATTCAAAATATATAAAATCCTTTTAACACTGAGAATTTCTGTCAACGCTTTCATGCAGACAAGGAAAGAGTACTTACCAAAGATTATGACCAGGTTTGAAACAAACTGATCTCAGAATATCAGAACCATCATAAAAATGAACACATTACACGTTGTTTCTATTAAAAAAAGAAAACTGGTAGTTATGGGAATTTATGAAAATGTTTGACTCAAAACTAAGGTTTCCTGTCCAGTTAAATGAGTAAAATGATGCTTTCATGTCATAAGATATTTTCTTTCACATACATGTGTATAATGCCTGTTAGGCTGGGACAGTGCATTCTGATAAGTAGTGACAGCCATTCAAGCACTGCACTTTTGAATTCTTGTTTCAAGCACAGGATAAGCACATCAGCAGGTGAAATGCAGCCTGTCATCCACTGTGCAGCAATTGGAATGCACAGTTTGGGGTGCATTAAATGAGGCATTACAGTTTTTTAGTAGAATCCCAACAAAATGAAAGCATTCTTGATGAGCAGGTCACATGTAAGTGTGGTCAGTTTAACAGGCATGCAGGGATCTGTTAAGTATGAAAATCACCATTTCACAATGATTTCTGTTACGTTCTTTCTCTGGTATTTCACTTTTGGATTCTGACACGCTGTTCTGACAGCTTTGTAACACAGCTTTGGCTGGTTTAACTGTTAGTCTCTATATCACGTTCATGGCTGCATTTAAAAAGAGGTTGCAAAGACAAGATCTGTAACGTCCAGTATAATGAGAGCCTCCATTTGTCTAAAACACTTGTTATTTACAAGGAGAGGACATTTTTAGGCTCACCAAGCATTCTGGCATTTACATTTGCCAGTGTTTAGTTCTACATCATTGAAGATATGTGTAATCAGTGGGTGAAAAGGGGAAAAACTTGCAAGTAGCATTCTGTGTCTATCTTTGTATACATCTGTGAGAGAATTCTCTCAGATGTTAGAAAAATCTCAACTATTAAATGCTTCATTTGTCACAAATTCAGAGTCATGAGAAATTGAGTGTATAGGAAGAAAAAGAAGCAGGGAAGGGAAAGTATGATTGTGTTAAAATGTAATTTCTTTGTTGTGCTAAGGTGCAAAGTTACGTCACCAATAGATATTTCAGCCTGCTTACAATTTTAGAATGGCCTTGGATTGGCCAGTCACTGGTAGCTGCAGAGCCTGTTATCTGCTCTGACCAGCCTTTCTCATTATGAATTTTTTGTGTAGAAAACCAAATCTTTATTTTAAATTTCTTCCAGGGAGATTGTCCCATAGCACATCTCCTTTCAGTTTTAATCGCAGAGAACCTGGCACCATTACAGGCTTTGAAGATGAGCTGGCCTGAGAAAGCTGGAAACAAAAGGAGAGCTGTGGTTCCTGATTTCTGCCCTAGTTTGAGTGTCTCCCTAGAAAGCTTGGGGAGCACAGTGTGCTTTGCCTCTTGACAAGCCCACAGTGCAGGAAATGAGGGAGGAAGGACCTGAGAAATGCGGAACCAGAAAATGAAGTTCTCTGTAAAGCAGTTTAAATATTGTTGCAAATGACAAAGTGTAATTCTTATTTCAGCACACATGCATATATCTGTATGTACATTTAAGGCCAGGAACTTTACAGCCTATCCAGTGGTCCTGTCAGCAGGTCTGTGCATCACAGCTGTCACTTCTGTTGCCACATATTTTTTAAAATTTTAATTGTGTATTCTCCAGTTAGCTCAGGGCAAGGAAATCTTTTTTGAAGGGATTTATCCCTTAGCCAAATGGCATAATATTTCTCAAATACCATCTGAGTAAACTCGGTTCTTTGTCTAATGATCTGCTCACGAAGAGAAGCAGGAGTGCCAGCCTTTATGGCAGAAATTTAGTTAGGCGAATCAGAACCTATGTTTGAATGGAACTTCATCTGTTGCAGGTGCATGTGGCATCTTTTTTGGACTCCTAAGTGGCAGGCCCCATTTTGTCAGATGCAGCTGGTAACTTCCTTCGTGAAAGTTTTCCCCTTAGCAAAGGTCAGCGAGTTTGCCAGCATCTATCTTTTCCACAGCTCTTTAGGACCCAATTATGTATAAAAAGAAGTAAAGGACAATAAAATTGCTTGTCCAGTTTCAAAAAACTGGTACAGCTCTCAGCAGGCTTCTAATAATAGGATGGGCAGTGGGTTCTCATAGCAGAAGTCTGCTGTAGATACACAGTTTAAGCCTGTCTCAATGGCTCCCCAGGACTCATTTTGGGTCCATTTTGGCCCATTTGTGGTGCCTGCTCAGCAGTAACTGGACACGTGGTCAGGCTGCAGCCAGAGCTGTGCTGCTGCATCTGGTTTGTGCTGCCTGGTACCAGCTTTTCCGTTATTATGGGTGAGAGAAACCTGTTGGGCTAATATTATCAGCATGCAGGAAGAAAATTCTATAAATTTTTGTATAAATCCCCATGCTAACTTTTCTTAGGGCAAGTATTATTCCAGTTCCATATGAGGCCAGAAATCGTTGATTTTATAGACTATAGATGCTAAACTTCTGCAGTAGACTCTTACCTTGTGTATATCATAGAATCATAGAATCAAGCAGTACTTGATGCCCTCTCACCAGATAAATATTTCATCTGGATCATTTGTACCCAGAATCCAGAGTCTTGGTTCTTGAAGTTCTGTTGGCATTTACTTCCAAGGTAAATACAGTTAAGGTGTTGATTTCAAGTGCTTATCCTCCTGTGCTAATCTGGTCTGTGGATTTTTGTGTGACAGATAGGAGAATGTATTTGTGAAATTCCTTTTGGAATTCCCGTTGGAAGTCCAGAAATACAACCCTACCTAGAAACCAACAAAGTGGGCTTAAGGTGGATCTCCCAGCCAAAGGATTTGTTCAGTCAGGGAGACCTTCTGACTGTCTTCAGCAGGAGACGTACTTTTTTCACCTTGCATTTAAGACATTAGAGTTTAGTAAAATTACATTGTTCTGCCCTTATTAATTGTGACTTGCAGGCGAGATTCAGGGTCAGAGCAGATTCATGCTGCCAGTGGCATCTGATCTGCCATCAGGCTTTGAGCAAGCTGAAATGTCTATTTTGACCAAAAAAAAAAAAAGGTAGACCTTAATGCTCAGGAAAGGGAAATCCCAGGTAAGTACAAATTCCTACTGTTATTCTCTTTGTACCTGCAGAGATGTTTTTATTTCTTTGTGCCCTTTGGTGAAGCAATTGCATTGCCAGAGGACTTGGATTATAACACTTAAACAGTTTGCAGCTAGAGGCTGTGTAGGAGCAATTAGTCTTAAATGAATTACTTTGAAAGTTAAATTGTTCTGTTATTATACTCTGCATGCTGGGTTTTTTTCAGCACAATGCTTGAGGTATTCTGATAGAGCTGATTGAATCAGAGAAGGAAAAGTATTGATGAATTAGATTAATATTTTAAATTTAGGACTGTGTAATTGTAGATGCTAATGTTTGTTCATGGAACATGAATTGAAATGGAAATGAATTGGCTTTAATTTCCTTTGTAAATGTCACTGAAACTGCAAAATAAACCTTTTCTTTCCAATTTACTCAGTTCTTTAAATTCTTCCTCAGGGACTTCTGACTGGTTGTAAATCATCAATATGCATGATAAAATGCCCACGCCTGAAAATTGCATTCAGCTGGTGTTGAGACCTGTTGTGTAAAGGAAAAAATACAAACTATTCTGTCTGTTCAATGAATGTAAAACTCAGGATGCAGGTCAGACACATAACTGTAGAGAGGAAGAGGATTGCCATGTAAATATAGATCTCAACAGGAATGCAGAAGGCCAGTCTTTTTTTCCTTCTTATATGTTCAAGGTTCAGATTTCCATGGACATGGCTTCTAATTTTTTTCTCTAGCTTGCTTGTAAATCAGTGAATTTTTTCTTTGTAGTTTGGAGAACGTTCAGTATCCCTACCAACTCTACATTGCTCCTTCTACCAGCAGCACAGAGAGACCCAGCCCAAATGGTCCAGATAGACCTTTTCAGTGTCCAACCTGCGGGGTCCGGTTCACTCGCATTCAGAACTTAAAACAACACATGCTTATCCACTCAGGTAAGAAATGGTGCTATTTCCAATAATTACTAATTCATAGACATGCAGAAGTTGGCTCACAATGCCACAAATACAGTAATACAATTCCTTTTTAATCACATGCCAGGTGCAAGAGAATTGATTTCAGAAAGAATTGGGTAGAGAGGTATGTCTCACTGAATGCTTTGATCTGATACATTAGATCTGACTGATAGCTGCACCCGTGGATGATCAGCATTTGTGTGGACTGAAAAAAAATGTGCCTGGGAGTCATCAGAATAAGTTATTCTCACAGGAAAGATTTAAGATGAAATCTCACAGTATACTTGGCTTTCTTATTATACTAAAGAAGTGATGTAGATTGAAATTCTTCTTCTTAGAGACCATAATTGTCTGCTGTGTTTCAGAGAGAATTGCAGCCATTAGAAAATATGTCATCTTATGTCTTTGCATTGAAAAATGTCATGTTTTTGGATCTGAGTTTTTGGAAAAATTGTAATTGAATTAGTTTGATAATGAGTTCAGTTTCTACAGATAGTACAGGCATGAAATGGTTTGTACAAGTGCCTCTTCTGAGTCTTCATCCCAAAGTAGTTGCACCCATTTTCAATTCTCACAAAGTATGAACTCCTAATGTCTTTGCTGTCGGTATTTTTCTAGACTTTTCAGTGGTATCCAGCAAGGACATGGACATTTTAGTGAATGAAGGGAACACTGAAGGGTTATTATAGTTTAGCACTAACTAAGCTTAACAGTTTAGCATCTCATAGTTTGAGATTGTCTCTTACCTGCACTCAGATGCTGTACCAGTTTTAGGCAGAGCACCCACAAATGTCAAGGCATGAATTCTTCACTGTCAGCAGTTCTTTGTCCTTCAAGCAAAATGGCCATAATGTGTTCAGGCCAGCAGTAAAAATACATTTAGTGTTTAAAAAAACAAACTGTACAGATGTATCAGTTGCAAAATTATCCAAAGGAGGTTGCTAAAGTTGTAGCTAATGGAAGAAAGCTTCAGCAAAGCATCTCTGGCAGATCTGATGATTGGCTGCCCCTGGACAAAATGAGAAGAGATTACTCTTTTAGAGTAATTCTTGTGCAAAATGTGCAAAATAAGTTCCCACACCTTGGAAGTGTTAGAAGTGTTTTCACATGAGCAAAGTGGATGAAGAGATTTTGCTCAGACTATCTGAGGTGCCCGCGAACCGTATGCAAGCATGAAAAGCTCCACGAGACGATATTCTAGAATATTAACTTGTTTTCACATGCTTAACGAGGAGTTTCAGTGTAACCTTAACTACAGCTTTCTCTGTGTAAAAGCCCCAATTAAAAGTTCAGCTCTCACTTTGAACATAGCGAAAGCAGTGTGAAAGACCAGTGGAATTAACAGCCTGGACTGATGCACATTCAGCCCTTTGAAAAAATCTTCTTTATTCCTTGACAGCCCTATTATGAATAGAGCTCCATATTCCAGATTCTTGGCCTCATGTTTGGATTTCCACACTTTCTGGAGTTCAGACTCTTTATTTAACTTTTTGGTGATTCAGTCTTTTATGTTGTAATAGTTCTGTTTGGGTGTGATTACATACTCTCAGGCGCTGCAGCATGTTGCAGAGCTCATATGTTTTGGGATTTTATTAGTGCCTATAATAAATGGAAAATGAACAGGTAACAGAATGACTAAATTAAAGCAAGAAAAAAGGCAAAGCATGAACTTAAACCATCTTAAAGAGTTGTCTGTCATGCAAGGTTGCTGAAAATTCTTGTGTATAAGGGTTCCCACACAATATAAAGGCTGCTGGTTTACTTTTTTTATCGCCATTCCTGCTGCATTACAGGGGGAACCCTGTACACAATGTCCCCCCTGCCAGAACACTGCTCTGAGGCCAGAGGCGGCAAGAAAAAGACATTGCAATTAGGGCTAGTCTGATAATTGCATTGTTGGGAGCCAGTCTGGCACAAGAATCTCCCAAGATCAAAAGAATTGAAAGATGTTTCGAGATGACAGCTGCATCAGATCCTTTCTGGCTGTGGCTCAGCTTCTTAATCATAGTCTAATCCATGGAAACTTATGTTCATTTTAAACTGTGAGGAAGAAGAAATGTAAGCATTAAAGATGGGTTACATAATTATGAAATAATAGCAGCTGGTTCTGAAAAATTGCAGCTCTGTGCTAATTGTTTTGCCATTTTAAAGTTAACAGGAGTGCTTCTTCCTAAATCAGCGCCTCGCTGTGGCGGGGTGCTGCTCCTGTGCTTTCACTGTGAGAAATCTGGAAGGATTTTGCCATTCCAAAAGCTGAACGTTTGCTGCTCTCTTTTTGCAGGCATTAAACCATTTCAGTGTGACCGCTGTGGGAAAAAGTTCACCCGAGCTTACTCGCTAAAGATGCATCGCCTGAAGCACGAAGGTAAACGCTGTTTCCGGTGCCAGATATGTAGTGCCACTTTCACTTCCTTCGGGGAATATAAACACCACATGCGGGTTTCCCGGCACATTATCCGCAAGCCTCGGATTTACGAGTGCAAAACATGCGGCGCCATGTTCACCAACTCTGGAAATTTAATCGTTCACCTGCGGAGCTTGAACCATGAAGCATCAGAGCTAGCAAACTACTTCCAGAGCAGGTGAGGTGCACAGCAAAAACCTAACAGGGAAACTTGCTTCTTCTTCTTTTTTTTTTTTTTTCCTATTTCCTTTTTTTCCTAAATCATCTTTTCCTGCTTGCAGGGCAGCCTGCTGTGCCTCTCATCAGGTTGCCAGCTAATTTGAATCACATTCATTCTTGCACCACTATCTGTTATATCTGATCTGTTTTACAGTGTGTGAACTTCATAGCAGGGCACTGGAGAACCCAGTGATATGCAGAAACTGCTTCTGGGCTACTTAATTTATATTTTCAGTTGTATCCGTGGGCAGGCTAATGGAGTTAAGTCATTCTCTACTGTCTGTGGAGTTCTGTGTGTGATTTAGTATTTAAATGTTGTCCACAGACTGTTTGCTTACGTAGGGAATAGACTTGTGACTTCATTTAAAGTGTTTGTTTAATGGTGGATATTGTGGAAAGATTGCATGACTTCATACCTTTTTAATTTTCTAGCTACCCTGTTGCTAAATGATCAGACTAACAGAATGTGGTGTCTTTAAATAGTTGTAGAACTGTTGTCCATGAAGGAGTAAGCTGGTGCGGATCAGGGAAGGAAATGAAATTCAGCTTTGTTCAAGCTAGTGTGATTCGTGTGCCCATCACAAAATACTGTTGCAATTGGCAACCTTCCTATACTGTCAGCAGAACCTTTGCTTCCTCACCTCATGCTTCTGTTTACAGCCTGTCCACTCTGAGTGCTGCTGTTTCTTGGGTGGATCTTATCTCAGGGGTGGAAAAGGCCCACATCTTTGCCAGTGCTGAACTAATTTTTGTTTCTGTTTGTAATGGTTGAGTGTTCCCTTTTGTCAATGAGGTTTTCAGTGCCATGTGATATTCTGATCATTAACTTTCTTTCTCATCAAGGTGATACAGTCTAAATAAGAAGTTTTCTGTGCAGGAAATATGGATGCACAACAGTGCCAAGTAGATGTTGTTGATTAATTTTTTCTGTGTGTTTAAATGAGAACTGGGTTATAGTGCTCAGTGAGGTGCTGCTGTGAAGATCTGAGAGCAATGTGAAACAAGTATCTCATCTCTGTGCAGCTTGTATAATGTAACTGATACAAAGAAACTGATACCTCCAGTGTTTGTGCTAGAAGTGACATTTCTCTTCTGTCCTTTGCCCCTCTTCTAGTGACTTCCTAGTACCGGACTACTTAAACCAGGAACAAGAAGAGACCCTCGGGCAGTATGAGCTAGGGGAGCATGGCTTTGAAAGCAACTCTTCTGTCCAAATGCCTGTCATTTCACAGGTCTCGTCAACTCAGAATTGTGAAAGCACTTTCCCCTTGGGGTCTCTGGGTGGGTTGGCAGAGAAGGAAGAAGATGTGCCAGAGCAGCCAAAGACTAACGCCACTGCTGAGGCAACTGCAGGTGACCCTCCAAAACCGGAGCTGTCATCTATTACTATTGAATAATTCATGGTTTGGTTTCATTTTTGTTCTTTGGAAAGTGCCTGTGTTTGGTCCTGTACATTTTAATTTAATTTTTTTAAACGAAAGTGGGGAGATTTTCCCTTTTTACTTTGTAAGCTACGCTTTAAACAGGAAACTGCAACAGATGTTACGTTATTTTTCATGACTGAATGATCACTTCTGTGAAAATATTTAAGACTGAATGCACAAAAAGATCTTGTCAAAACATCATGGAAGCTGTGATACACTTCTAAAGAAGAACAACTGATTCAGATCACTTTAACTATTTCTTCTTCCGCAGTTAGAACAGCTCATTAAGTTTCTCTTGCTTCTGCAGACCCTCTGGTTAAGGGAAAGAAATCAGAGGAAACCTTTTTAAAATGACAAACAACAGGATGTGTTGGAAATCATTATTGAACAGCTTTGACTAGTTTTGAGTGGATGCTTTAATCTTCTGCATTAAAAAAAAAATGACATTTCCTATCTCTGTGCCTGCTGTTTTTCAAAGCGCTTACTGTAACCCTTTTGTTGGAAATGGTAAGCATTTTTGAAACTAACAGTCACACACTTTTAAAAAACACATTGTCCTTTTTCATCTCAGATAAATCGGTTTTGACAAACCAAGTGATGTCATGCCAGGTATTCCTCCTTCTTATATTTCAGTCCTTTTAGAAACATCTCAATCAAATAGCCTGTCTGGATTTGCCAGTCTGAGGTTAGGCATGGAAATACTATGGTCAGGAAAATTCTGGTGTGTAATGAAGTGAGCAGGTTAGAGGGGTGTATAACCATGCACGCCTGACTGATATCTCATGACTGTATCTTTCTGTAGAGGGGAAACCATGTGTGAAAATGAAGGTTTTCCCAAACTGAAATTCTTAAATCTTGGCCAGATTGCTTGCAGTTCTGGTCACTTCTTCCTATCACTTATACTGTATTTTACTAGTCTCCAAAACCTGACTAAAGGGAATTTACAGATGGGGAAAATAAATGGGCTCTCTTCTGCATTATTGCACATTTTTTGTTTATACATATGCATGTATGGTTTCTCAAATTTTTATTAGGCTGTTTTGGACAAAACAAGCAATTTATTCCCTTCAGAGGCCAACTTTCTAACCCAACAAGGGGTTGTTTACAAAGAACCTATATAGCAGTGATGAATTGTTCCTATTTCAAAACATTCTAAATCCTTGCCAATTCAGTTTATTAAAGGCCATTACTCCAGCTATATACACAGCTCAAGTAAGCAATAAATTGTGAAAGATTTGCGATTTCATTTTTTCCATATTTAGAAAAAGCTGCAAATTTAGGGTATGGGATTTTCAGAGCAGTGATTCTTGTTTTGTTGAGGCTGTTTGGGTTATGGTACTGCTTTGAAAGCTGAATTAGGAAATACATTAGGAGGTTTTTGATTTATTTTTTTTATTGCTTCTGAAGTTAACTCGGTGTTTGATGCCAAATGCCTATTGCCTACAGATGACATGCTGAGAGAGTAGGTATTACTTGGTCTTAGTATTCCAAAGGCATGATACACTCCCTTAGTTTTGAATCTTGATTTTAAATTATTGTTTTCTGTCTGGATTTGCTTTATGCAAACACGAGGAGGAAATGCTGATAGGAAAGAGTGCTCCTGAAGAAACAGAGGACACAAAAGTCATATAATATTGCACCATCAGTTTGTATTCAGTTAGCTTAGGCAGCTGATGCTCTGTAAGTCTGGGTTGTTTCTACTGATAGCCTGCTTTGGTAAGGAAAAATAGCTTATTGCCCTTTGGAAAGAACTTAAAGAGTTTCATTGTCTTCAGCAGTTTTTCTCCACTCTGTTTTAAGTACAAAATACACATTTTAGTCAAATGAAGTGAAAACGGTTGGAATTTAAATCCTTTCCATGTTACTGGAGTGAAGTTTCCCTACCAGATCCATAGAGTGTTTTATAAATATGCTGCAAAGGAGTTCTCTGCTACAATTCAGTCTTGTTGTCTACCTTTGTTAAGTCTTCTTAAAAGGGCTTGAAGGAGAAATAGTCTTTTGTGATGCTGTGCTACGAATCGGTCCAGTGTCTTTTTGACGGGCTGAATTTAAAGACCAATTCTCTTCCACTTCTGATTTCTATAACTGAAAAGCCAGTGAGACAAGAAAATGCCTTTTGATGAGTTTTATCTTGACTTATAGGGCTATGACACTGAACTCAAATAAAGGATTTTCTTTTTTGTAATAGGTGTTACTCATCTTTCCAGGTCCGTGAGATTCCTTTGTGATTCACGCAGTAAATAGTACTCACACAGAAACATAGTTCCAGACTGTACAGGTGTAACATTCAGTGGTCAGGTGTAGATGGACATAAACTTCTGTTCAAATCTGATAATTTTCACCCACTGGATCTTTTATTAATATGTCTATTGGTGAGGAGATGTGCAAACACAGAATAGACATATCTGGATATTGGATTTTTAAAAGTCGTAACTTTTTGTGTCAGAAGGCAAACTGCTTTCTGAATACCAAAGAGAAATGAAAAAGAAACTTTAAAAAACACCCCACTACCTTTGTAGTTCTACTCTGTTCTTCCTTGAGAAGAAATGAGTTAACACTTTGGTACAAGGCAAGCCGTGGGTTTCATTTTTCATTGCACAGTGTTACACATTATCTTTTCACCCGTGTAATATCTGTATAACATCTGTTTTGGTTTGTTTTTCTCACTTTTCAGTCTGATTCCACTGCAGGGACAGTAGAGTTCTTAGAGGGTTTGTTTGTTTTAGGATCGGGCATTTTTTTGTTAGTTTTCCCATTTATAAGTGTTTCTTGTTACTGTTTCTTTTCTCCATAGAGCATAAATTAAATACAAATATCCTTTTTATTTTTCCTCCCTAACTTGTTGGAAATGTTCAGTTCTTTAGAATACTGGTGTTCTTCATGGGACAAATGTAAAAATGTAGAACATCTTAAAACAAGTTCTGTTGCTAAAACTTGGATTCCAAATTGAGCAAGATAGATATCTAGACTAGAAGAAACTTGTCTTATGCTACACCTGGGATTAATCAGAAAGCTTCCTTCCATACGTTATCTGAGTGTTTTGAACCCCGGGCTGCATTTTCATCCTTTTCCCCTCTATCCTCAAGTTCCTTACTTTGCATTTATCTTTCTACTTAACCAGCATCACAGAATCACAGATTAGTTGAGACTGAAAGGGACCCCTAGAAATTGTGTGGTCCAAGATCCCATGCTCAAAGCAGGATAAGTAAGGTTTTGAATGTCTCCAAAGACAGAAACCCTATGACTCCTCTGGGCAATCTGTTCCAGTGTTTGACCACCCTCACCTTAATAAAATTTTTCTCACGTTTAAATGGAATTTCTAGAATTTCAGCTTGTGCCCACTGAGAAAAGTCTGGCTCCATCTTTTATCCCTTTTATCCAGTAGCTGTACATATGGGTAAGATCCTCCTGAGCTTCCTGTTCTTTGGGCAAAACAGTCCCAGCTCTCTCTCAGCATGCGTTGTGAGATGCTCCAATCCCTTCATCATATTGAAATCTTCAAATGGATACATGCTACCCATTGCAGTAGTTTCTGCCATGATGAGTAGTCTCCAAATTCATTCACAAAGTGATGCAAACATGTTTTCCTTCTGCATGTCCTTCTCCTATGCAGCACCATTCTTTACACTCAGTGGAAAAGCCTTTCCTCATCCATTTATTTGCAAGTTGAGTGCCTTCACTACCGCAGAACTAGCAAGATTCTGCCGTGTGCTTGGGTCCCAGACTCTTGGGGTCTGTATGGGGTCTTTCTCCCTTGCATATTGTGCATATAGAGCAGTATGTCTAATGAGAAAAACAGGAAAGCAGTGGAATTTTTTTTTTCTCTGCCTCAATGTGGTGTTTTGGGAGAGGGGATAAAATTCAGCAGCTCTCTATTTCCCTGCAAAGAGTGGAAGAAAAATGAGTGCTATTTTAGCTGTGTGGGAGATTTGGCCAAGTTGTAAGGGTTTGTTTTGTTTTTTTGATGCAGATACATAGCACAACTCCCCTGGAGATCCATGGGATTGCCTTCACGTTCAGCAAATTAAGCTCCCCATCAGAACTGCTTGTCACTTTTCTTGCACCACGTGTGATATGTGTTCTTCATGGTTTGTCTCGCTGCTGTTTGAGTTCAGTTGTCAGGCTCACAGATAGTGTAGTCACGTCTCTCATACTGAGAGATTAGTAGACTAGGTTATTGAAAATGGTTCTGGGTTCACATGTATTTGAGTCTAAAAGGTGTGAATTTAAACTTTTTTAAAAAGTACTAGCTGCCAATGCAGTAAGATATATTTTGTAAGACTATGATCCCTATATATCCTTTACGGGATAAAATTTTATTGTTTTTAAGCTATGGTTTAAAGTTTTTATATGAGGGCTTCAGTCGCTTCTTGGTTGCTGGCTTTCCCCTCCAGCCCCAGGATGTAAGAGCATTGAGACTATTGCCAGTCTCTCTCTGAGACATACCAGGAAGCATTTTATATGCAAATAGAACGGGAGCTTTGTGCACCCTGCAGGGATGGAGAAAACGCAGATGTAGGAGCACCTGTTGCTCCTAGATCCATTGCAACTTCCACACCATCAGAAAATGGAAAATAGCTAATTTTCATTCAGATCGATTAAGTTCGAGTTTTGCGTACAAGGTGAAACCCATCTTTGGAGGGTTCTCCTCTCCAGTTATGGACATAATAAATTCCATAGCATCTTGATGACAGATCGGAGTGTTCAAGGTCAGACTGTGCCTCAGCCACATCGGAGGTCCCTCGTAGGTGGACTCGATTCAAAGTATTTGAGGAAATGTACCATAAAAAACAAATGTGAATTTCTTTTAATGCAACAGTACTTAACTCTGGGTTTTTGTTGACTCAATATGTGCTATCACAGTAATTCAGTGTCCCACAGGTCTCAACTACAAATCTGGTTGCACTAAAAAAAGTCGAGTCGGTTTCTGGTGCTGCCAGCCTGTGTGGCAACTGTACCTACAGTCTTCCTGAGGGTTGCTGATGTCCCCAGAGGAGTGATTTTGTTTAACCATTCATTTAGCTGGTGCATGCTTTTGATATTCTGACTTATAGCCCTGGCTACACAAACTTCTTGGACAGCTTCTTTGCCCTGTACCTGCAGTGCCTTCACTCTAGGTGCTGCTCTGTGGTGAAACCCTGAAGAGGGAAAGAGTAAAGCTGGAGGAAAAATGTGAATTAAATTATTGTTGGGCTTCTTTGTGCATTTTAGTAACAGTGAAACCCCCTTAACTGTGCCAGTCTCCAGTCACCAGCCGTATATCCAGTCGTCATCTCATCCACAGTACAGCTTCTCTTGTTGATGCTGGCCACAGCTAGATTACTTGGCATGTTTATTGACTTAACAGAATTGGTTTTTGGTTTTGGTTTTGTTTTTTAATGTATACGATGTTTAAATACACTTCACATTTTATATAATACTATCTGGCTATTAGTATTTTTCAGGAACCATAGTTCTTGGTGGCTATATATATTTTTGTGACTTTTTTTGTAAACTAAGTGCCGTTTCAACGTTGCAATCATTTTTAGAGTTATTGTAATCAATGTGAATATCATGTTTTTTCAAATCTGTTCTGAGCCTGTAGTGTTTGCTTTGTGATCATATGTGTAATGTATATATTCTGTATAGTTACATTGTATTGAAATACTAGCTTGTTTGATATAAGAAAAGTATGTATTGGATACCTTTTTGCTAGCCTGGTTGTTTAATCTTTAAAAAAAAATGTTCTAAAATGCAAAAAAAATTATCCAAACTGGTCCCATTATAGGTCAAAATTAAGGGGGGAGAAAAAACTAGTTTTGAGTGTCTTTGGATAGAAACATGAAGCTAAGATTTTTCATTAAAATATTAATGTTTTATGGAGTATATCTTTGCTTTGTGTCATTCTTTAACTACATCAAAATCTGTCTTAAAGTGCAAAAGACTTCGGTTAAAAGGTGCAGATCTGTTACTTGAGTTACGTTCTCTTGTAACTTTTGTTTATAATTCATCTCCAAACAGTTGAATATGAGGAAGAACTCAATATTGTTCAAGCTGTCCTTAGAGGGAGGGTAGTTTGAAATAAAGTAAACATTAAGAAATGATTGAAGAAGTTACATAAGTGAAGAGTATTAAGAATAAAGTACGTGTTGTTGTTTAATTTTCCATTGTATATTACATTTCCTTTTGTTAATGTTCTCTTTTAGGCTGTATTCTGCAAAAGCGGTGGGGCCGTCTTCTGAATGGGGTTTTATTGAAGGAAAGCCAGCCAAGAATGAGCCTAACCAAATTAGTCAAAGCAGAAGATGTTTAAAAAGGACAGTAGACAGCCATCGTGATCACAGCCGTGAGCTGCAAAATAGTCATGAAACAGCCTAGAGTTGTGGGACATAAAATATACCTCTGCCATTTCTGGCAACCCTTGCAATTAAATTAATTTGCCTCATCCAGACCCGCCTGTCTGACTGGGTAGGGGTGCTAGCTGGATCAGCTCATAGGTAGGGCACAGGTAGGAAAATGGACATTTTAATTACTTGGCTGAAATGATTATAACTCTGCTCAGTAGCCTGTATGAATAACAAGCAGATTGACATGATTAGTACACTAGGAGTCAGCATCTGATGTGGGAAGTGGGGAAAAAAAAAAGCATTCCACTGTGCAGCATAAGCAGTCACAATGAACCTTGGGTAGAGGAGGTTGAGAGAGTTTATAAATTCCAAGTTCTCGTGTTCCTGAGGACCTTGCGTAGGGACAGAAGTATTTTATCAAAAGCATAATTGGAAGAGGGAACGTATCTGGGGAAAGCTTTGGAGAGAATTACGGTTTGAAATGTAAAGGCTTTGACTCCATTGGTCTCCCTCAAAAGAAAGAATCCAGTCGCTTTGAAGACTGTCAGACTACAGTTAGGAATATGCAGTGATGTTTAGCAGAGCATTGCAAATCTAAAGCCTGTATGACTGTATATGAATGTATAGCCATAAAGCTAAGGCGAGACTGTTAGAGTGCATGCCTTTGATGGATATCAAGGTTCAGCCTTGCGACTGAAGTGGATTTTTGCAAAGCACAGCCATATGTTTAGGTTTGGTATGAAACATCATTTAGAGATCCTTAACAAAGCAAATGGACACTATCAAAGTTTTTCTGTGGCTTACTTACAGCATTTAAGCATTTTATTCCTGACAGTAATGAAGTACCATTTCTTTTGCACAGAGGAGAGTGGCTGAGATGAGATTGAATTCATAGCTACTGAGAATGTAGTGTAGCAGGGAAGAGCTCTCCAGGGCTTACTGCACCATTCCTACATATGTGATATCCTGGTGAAAATGAAGCTGCTAAGAAGAACCTGGCTTGGATCATATATAAAGCATTTTTCACAAGCTGCCTGTGCGTGCAGCATCTCCAGAGTACTGAACATAAGTCTGTCATCACCATTCTCAGAGCACAGATTGCTGTGAGACCATGAGCAAGCAGAGCAGGGGTAAGTGTGTACTTTAGAGCCTCAGTACAGCTCAGAGCTCTTCTGAGAAGTAGCTTTCAGTCATTCTGACTTTTGGATCTAGACACATTTTTCAGAAATGTGGACCTTCTTGTATAGTAGATATGCACTTGCTGATAATAGCCATGATTTTCATGGTTACCTTTCACAAATCCTTTAGAAGCAGGCCACAAACTCCCAGTGACAGCCATGTGTTTGAAAGCCATTCTAAAGGCTTGAGTTAACTGCCTTTATGACGAGTTGCCTTCATCCCAGTTACAAGCTCTCTTGGTGAACTTGAGAGCAACTCATGGGGCATCTGTGTATCTCACTTGAACCTTCTATAACACTTTTGAAGTTAATAATCTCCACATAAGAGAGCTGCTGTGCTAGGCTGTGTATGTTAATTTATGTGCCTGTGTCACTATCCCTGACTGATTCCCTCCTGTTTTGAATACAGCTGTTTTTTACATTTCTGACTGGATTTATATGGGCGTATCTCTGAGAATACATCTCCTGTGTAGGTCTAAACTACATTCCCTTTCTTTCATATACTTACATAAATCTAGATGCTTCAGTTCTGTGTTTCGTAATACTTCCATAATTTTGAAGATAGCAGTTTTTTCTCACAAAGTACTGCCTGTTCCCCTGTACACAAACGCACGCGCACACAACATGTGCTCATTCAGAAAGAATTTTGAACAACGAACATTCGAAAACATTGGTTGACAAACTCTTTCCTTGCTGCTTCCATCCAGAAGTGGCTGCTATTACGATGCTTTTCTTGGTTAATTTTCAGTTGGATGAGACAGGTCACAAGCTTCAGACTCCAGCAAGAACCTCTGTAAGAGCTTTTCTCTTTGCCCTTACAAACTTCTTTCGTGTTTGCAGTCAATCGCAGAGACATGGCTTCATGTGATCCTGCACTCATCCCTAAACCTCCTCCGCAGAGAGACAGGACTTATGGACAAGATATTCATCGTAAGGAAGCAGACATATTTTGTGGTCTTGAGATATTTTTTTTGGAGTGGGAGAATGTTGATGGTTCTTCGGCATAGCTTTTGCTTTAGTTTTTACTTCACGTAGACTCTTAACATTTTCCAGACCATTTCTAAGAAAAGCTAATGTCAATTACAGATCGTTGTTAAGCATGAAGTAGCATTGAATAAATATGGGCAGTATTCATTTACACCAAAACAAATTATAGTCCTTAATTATTTGTTGGACTGTAGTGCAGTACGGCTTTCAAACAGTCTTGGACCCAAGGTAGCTGTGAGCATGCCCCTGAGCACTCATTTTTCTGGAAAGACAGAATACCAGAATACTGGTAGTAAAATGGATCATCTGAAACCTTTGCAGAGGGTGGAGAAGTCTCCCAGGTAAGAACACCTCTGAGTGAAAGAGGAATAAACAAAAACGTCGAGAGAGGAGCAATGAGACCACAGGCTGGTGGAGCAGATGACTCAAGTCCAGGATCATTTATGTATGTGTAAATCTTGACATGAGCAGAAGTGATTACTCAGGGTTTGCTACTGCATTGCTGAAGGCCAACAGTCCACTGCCTTCAGACTTCAGCTTCAGCAAGGTAAATTACAGACCCAGTCCACTTAAGTATTCAAATAGTGGGCCTTTCCAGGAATAGGTTTAAATTGCTCCTTAACATCTTGCCCATTTTGTGAACTTCTGCTGGTTGTTACTCTGTCCCAGCACAGTGTATTTTCTGTCCTGTGCATTAACGGGGTGTACAGAATTTTGGGGTAAGCAGACCCTTGCACTCCATAGAGCTGAAAGAAAGACACTAAAATATCAGTTTGGGAAACCAAAATATCCCTCCAAGGTTGAATTTTATCTTCCCACAGTTTAAATGCGAAAAAATAGTCAGAATCTTAACAAAACCTTTTATGTAACTTCAGTGTTACAGTGATCAGTTTCAGGGCTGACGTGACAGCAATTATAAACAACAGTTACGCAACTGCCTCGTTGATTGAATTGAAACTGATACAGAGAAAGGAAGAGCCAAACAAGAAGAAATGGCTTTGGGTTAACTTGTTGTTTTAAAGAAATAAAAAATGTGCAGGTCTGCCTCCTTTTCAGAAGTGAGGGCAAGCCCAGGATGAAAAATCTCTTTGAAAAACAGAGGCAGTGAACTGCTCTTAAAAATTCTGTTTGTGGTAGAGGCAGAATTTTGTTTACTGTCTTAAGACTTGCAGCTTTTTTTAATTTTAAATCTGACAGTGAGGTAATTCAATATTTTAATTTTGAGTTCCTATTTTAAATTCCTTTTAAAAGAGCTGTTCAGCACATTGTTTTGTTGAGCATTCTGATTGCAGTGTCACTGGTTCACGCTGTCTGCGGTGAAGGCCCACATAGACACGTATGCATACGCTTAATTTCCTCCTCTCACCATCTGGCAGGCATTCAGATGTTTTTGAGTGGAACTGAAGGCAACATGGCTGCTGCACATTGCATGGTCAGCATCTGGTATCTCAGGGAGGGATCCTTCCTTAGGCTGAAAACCCGTTTGGTAGTACATTAATTCATAGAAGGAAAACGCAGAAAAGTTCTTTGTCCAGCTGGCTGTACTGGCAAAGCCCAAGTCCTGCATCTATTATACAGGAGTTGTACCTGACCCTCATTTTCTGTGATCCATCAGATAAAGGCAGGATGCAATTACTTTGCAGTACCATTAAAGATTTAGCACGGACATGAGCTAACCTGGAATTAATTTGCAATTGTGAGGCAGACGTAAAAAACAATGCCCAAGTGGATGTCTTATCACAGAAATTCTGTGCCTTTTTTGTTTCTCCAATATTTTTCCTGCTCATCCAGGGAACAGCATAGTCAAGAAGAGATGGAGGACAGGAAACAAACCTGTTTCTTTGCTCATCCTTTGAGATGCAAGGATGCAGAGGAGTTCTAGTTTGTTGCCACCACTGGGAGGAGAGGTAGCAGATTTTGGAGGCGCTTACACAAAGTGGGTTTGTTACACATCCCACTGACGTGTGTACAAGTGTGAGTCATTCAGTGTATTTACTACCCTGTATGTAACAGGTTCAGTGAGCAAAATGCTGAAGAAAACCTGCAGAAAATAGTGCACTCGCTATTCCTGCACGCACAGTCAGCTGTGATGAGCCTTTGTGTTGGATTCCCTGCCAGGTTTGCCAGGAGTTGACATTGGACAAGTGGCTTCACCCCACATAAACCTATGTTGAGGAAGAAAGCTGATCTCAAAGCTACCCATTTGAGCTGTTGGGTTTTCAAATGCCACTTGTTTACACTTGTCTTTCCTGATCCAGTAACTCAGTGTTGTGTATTACCCTCGGTGTGCTGTTAGCTGACATGAAGAGCATGGTTAATGTTGCCATCTCATTGTCCTTGCTCGCCTTGCCTGCTTTCTTCCTTTGGTCTCTTGCTGTAGAGACCAAGGAGTGAAAAGTGAGTGAAAACTCACACGGCCTTTGACATCTTTCCAGGGCAGTAATAAAGCACTGGGAGGTTAAATTTTATGTTTTGCATAGCCTTCCCCTCTGAAGACATGAAAAGAATTATAGGGGTTTGACCTATTCTGTGGTTAGGCAACTGTGATGGGTGCTTTATTAAAGTCTATAGCAATAAAGCTAACACAAACCAGAACCTCTCTGTGTAGTTTTACGTAACCCTTTAAGAAGTGATGGATGTTTTGCAGCAGCAGTGGAGGGAAATCGGTAGGTTAGGTCAAACTGCACAACATGATAACCAGAACAATTAATAGTGCTTGCTGTGAAATAGCAAGCTCCTGGCTCCCTGGATATTATACCATTTATAAAGCAGGACAGAATGCCTTTAAAGTATGGCTCTGATCAAAAGAGTGTCTGTAGAGCTCTCGGTACAATGAAGCTGTTGCATGGAGATCATTATTCTCTCTATCTGTAATGTTTTATGGTTTTTTTGTTTTGTTTTGTTTTTTTTCCTACTGGTTTTGCCCTTATTTGCCACAATGCTATAGGAGCTTTATAGCTTTGTAGGAAGGTACCAGATTCCTTTTTTTTCAAAAACTGGCAGCTGAACTGTTAGCTGAAACAGTGGCAATGGTGTCTTTTCCCCATCAGCTGCCATTTGTACAAATTCACTGAATCAGCTATAGAGCTGTAACTGGCCATGATCTGTTTTTGTCTGTGTTCCTAGTGATGATGCCAGAAATCCTCCATCTCAAAGTGGTTTGCAGTACCCGTGTTCTGAAAAAGCCTTTCTTTTGTTTGCTGTCCAACACAGAGACTCTAAGCTGCATGTTGGAAGACACAAAGAACCTAGCAGTGTAGAATGCAGCTTGCCTGACATACTAGGGTACATTTTATTCTCCTTCAGCACCTTGGCTATTTTGATCCCCTCATTAACTCAAGGCATTCCATTTTCCAGGTAGCTGCTAGTAGACCAGGCAGGTACTTGTATCTTCTTTCTTAAAGCCAGAGAAGGAGGAATCAAATCACAGCAGGAAGATTTAAATGGAAAAAGGCAAGTAATGTTGAACAACCATCTCTCCTATCAGAGCATTAAAAGCCAGCCTCCAGGATATCACTGCCATCTCAATCTGTGCAGTCTGTATACCTAAGTCTGTACTCTGCCTTCTCACGTAGAAACTCCATGTTTTATGTAGTGTTATGTGCTCTTATTTCTCTTACACGATGTGCAGGACTTCTTGAGTAGTCATGTGTGGTTAGCAAAGAACTGTTCTTGTGCACTCAAAGACAGAGGTCCTCGTGCCCATGATATTATTTGTACAACTGCATGGTGTTCAGTACTGTGGGTTTTTTTATTAGCAGGGGTGTCAAGTACATCCTCTTTTCTCATTAAACCTAGCTCCATTCTTAAACTCCTGAAGGGAATGCAGGGGGAAAGAAGAAGTGGAATTAAGGTTTTATAAAAGTGTCCTTTCTTCCTGACTTGGAAGACAAGGTATTTATTTTCAGGACATTAACATTTTTCACAAAGAAGCTGCAGTTCCCTGCAGGACTGTAGCTCAGCCTTTTGGCAGGCCTGGGAAGCCAGTACTCCCTTACTTGCATTCAAGTCATGTTTGGTTGCTTGGCTTTAGGTCAGTGGGGGTTTGCTACAGCTTTGAAGACTAGAAAACAATCTCTTGTTTCTCCTTTTAAAAACTGAAAGGAGCTAAGCTGGAAAATGGAAGCTCACTGTAAAAATGCATCAAGAAGGCCAGGTATTTGCAGCCGTCCTTCAGCTAAGCCATGTGTAGTTCCATTGCTATAACCGTGGAGCAAACAGCTTGCCCTCCCTGTTCTATTTATTGAAAACAAGTATCATTAGACCAGGGGAGAGGCTGGAATTAATTAATTGCATTACCATATTGGCAGAGTGTAGATTCCTGTCCTGGAAGAGTGTCCTTAACAAAAAAATCTGCCTAATTACCCCTTGGTCCAGCAGCCTTGAGTGAGAAAAACAGATTTTGCAAAGCAAAACCTGTTCAGCTGTTACCTTTCCAGTCCACTGTTCTTAAACAAAGCAGTTGCATCTCTGTGTAACCTGTAGTGAATGAGCTTCAGCTCTCTCTGCCAAGTCTCTGTTTAGCTCATGGGTTGGGTTTTTTTGTTTTTGTTTTTTATCTCCAAAGGTGTTTCATTAGCTCAATTATAAGTGACACGTTCCACTATGCTGCTGACCGAAAAAATTCAGCCAACATAAATCCATCTCCAAATAGGATCCAATTAGCCTCTTACTCCCCCCTCCTTTAATCCCCCGTGCCCTATGACTTGTTCACAGCCACACCTTTTAAAGAAGACGAACATAATCTGCTTGAGGTAACTTCACACATAACAGCTGAGGTATTTATACTTGTTTTTTGATTCAGTTGGGCTTGGGTGTATACTGTTCTTGTTCAGAAAACAAGTGTCCAGTGGCAGTTCCCTGGGTGAGGCTATCCCTAGGTTTGTTGCATAGGTATTTTCTGCACCTCACTGTCCCTATCAGTACAGGATGGGCAATGATCCCCAGTGACATTTAGAAAGGTTGTTGAATCTGTCAGATGCAAAACACTGTGTAACTGCTGAGACCACACAGGAACATAACTGGTGTTACAAACATGCTTGCTAACAATTCAATTTGCTTCTATGCCCTTCAGATCTTGGTTAAGCATTGTTTTGAATGCGGTTAAGGTGCCTGGGTGTTGCACTGGCTTCCTGCTCGGGGCTGAGTTTTGCCCTAGATCCATTAATGTTTTGGCAGTGTTGTCAAGACAGTTAGATGCTGAAGTCATCAGTAAGGCATATAACCCTAAATGGATAGGTTGGATCAGTGACCTACTTTAACATACAAGTCTTGCACAAGTCTGACCTTCTCCCCATGATCCACCCTGAGACACTTAGCATCACAACCCATCTCACAGCATCTTGTGTGTTGTTCTGGACATGTGCATACTAGCAAGGCAGTGAGTCCATCAGCTGGGACCAGGAGCTGTGATTTGGAAACCTTGAGTGCTTGATTTGGCGGCAGGCTTGTGTTGCAAATCCACACAAACATCTCTTTTTCCTATTTTTCTTTCCACTGTATCCACAGTCTGTGTCCCAAAGAACTTGTGCTCCCTGTTATCTAACACTGAATTAGTGTAAGAATTATTACTGGCATTTTGTCTGCTTGCATGCTCAAATGAGATCTCAGTCTGGGTTGCAATTTTGGCTGCTGCAGTTGTTGGTGTTTGTTTTGTTCTGTTAGAAGAAGGTTATTTTTATATAATGTTTTAATATTAATATTAGTAGTAATGCTTTGATTTGTTTTTATCTTCCAAGCATTCTCTTCCAAATGAGACCACAGCAAATAAGCAGTAACACTCAGTGACAGAATGTGCTGTTGAGGACAAATCAGCCATAGGGAGTGATGAGAACAGGTTCCAGATGAAGTAAGCAGAGGTTCTCAGCAGCAGGTGAGTCCCTGTACCCCATGAACTGAGAAACACAGTCAAGACATACAGTCTTGGGAAGGCTGAAAGGTTCTGGATGGTGGTCAGGACTGGTGACATGGTGTTTTGGTGGGATAACACAGGCAGATAGTCCGGACTGGTGCGTGTCTGTATTTATATTTGTGCAGTTTGAGTGATAAAACAGGATGAATGCCCTGTAATGTGGGAAGGCAGTGACGAAGCTATACTTAACTACAAAGACAACACAGCGAGAACTAGTCTGGTCAGGTTTTCCAGAGGCAATTATCTATTTCTTCTCTTACTATATAACATTTCTGTTAGGTCCTTTTTTGACTTTACTGTTTTTAATTCCCTGCTCCCCTCAGCTGATCTTCCATTCTTCCAATCTCCTGCTGTCTAGAGTGGCATGCCAGTGGTCCCAGCAGCTTTCAGACAAAGCATGTGCCTCCGTGTTTCCCTTACCTTTGAAAGCAGCAAGATTCTTCCCCCTTTGCTGCACCCCAGGCAGCTCAGGACTGTTGGCTGCTCACTGAGCATATGCAGCTTCTCTGCTCTGCGCCCAGCTAATGAGTCTGTGCTTTCCATAGCAGCAGGCCTGATCCCAGCCCTGAGCTAAGCCTGCCTAGAGGTGCTTTCCCCATCTCCTGAATCAGGCTGAGACGTTCACAGGTGTCTGTCCAGTTCAAAGCATGAGGGAACCACATCCCCCAGTGCTTTGGGCTGTTTGAAATCCACGCAGAATTTCTGTGGCTTCAGACCATTTCTTCGTTTGACATTCTCAGATCTTGGAGATGTTTTGTTTTTCTGCCTATCCCCTTCAGAGGTCAAGTGCTTCTACAGGGAGGTTAGCCTGTAGTTTTCCATGCACCCAGACTACTCCATGCACGAGTGAATTTGTTCTGTGATAATACAGCTGAGCATGCAAAACCGCAAGTAAATCAGACTGGATTTTTTTTTTTTCCACTTTTAATAACAGTTTACTATTCTGTAAGTGCATGTAAAGCACATGCCCTATTCCCCCAGCCAAGGAGCTTGACAGCCTGTCAGCAAGAACTACCATAGGTCTGCAGTGCCTGATTTATACAAGTAAAAGCACACGTGCCAGGACCTGGCAGCAGTTTGCCTCGTTGTTCTTTTTTTTTTTTTGTAATGACTTGGCAACCCTCTCTATTCTCCTTCATCCAAACTTTTGCCTTTTATAGTCTTTGAATAACGTTTTTTGTTGGTGATTTTTTTTTCCTTGTAAATGTATGTAGCAGTTTCCCCTCCCTCTCTTTCAACCATTTGCTCTCCTTATCCGAATTGGCTGTGGGATGGGGGACCCTGGCATCACAACAAGCAGTTCTTGTCTGAGTACACACAGCCACAAACACAACTGCACATGAACTCATGGCTTTGTGCACGGGAATGGGTGCACGCCAGGGCTTCATAACACTTTCTTACCTGTGCTCTGATATTCCTATGCTCCTACACTGTACATGCTTATCTGTGATCACATTGGTGCGATCAAGCATTTATTAACTTTTAGTTCTCATGGTTTCAGTGTGAAGCAGTCCTTTAAAGAATCACACCAATTTATCTGCGTTATCCAAGTGGGAATTCTTACATGTGTGCACACAAGCTTTTATAAGCCACCCTATATAATCATATGGCCTCCAGTATAGCTCCAAACTATATGGGTTCATTGATTTGCTCTTCTTCAGTTTGCTCTTCCTCACTCAGGACTACATTCAGGTATGAACTCACACACAACTGTGCAGCCACAGTTTCTCAGACACATGCATTCTTAGGCACAGACAGTCTCTCACACATAAGCTTATAGATTTATGATTTGTTGTGAGAGTGGAAAACAGCTGCTGCAAGCTAATCAAATACAGCAGAAGATTTAATGCAAAATATTGAAAAACACTGTCTGGTAGGAGGGTGAAATTCTTAAAAACATGCTGGTCTCATGGCTCCAGGCCAGTGCAAGAAGATTTGCACCTGGCCATGATAAACATCAGCAGTGGATTTGGAGGAGGCTGCTTCACCCAGGGCTGCCAGACACATGGGGTAAAATTCTCATTGGGTTTGGCCCTGTGAATGAGCTTTATAAGTTTGAGGTTGTGATTTTTCCAGGGCATGCAACAAAGCTGCTTGGTGTGGACCAGTAAGAAAGAAGAGTAGCCCAACTCAAGCAAAAGCTTTGCAGCACATCGGTGGAGCAGCTTTAAGTTCTGACGATAAGCTCATTTCTGCCTGTCTCTGTGGGCAAATGGAAAGCCATTCAGGGCTGTCAGTTCGGCACCTTTCACCGGTTTTGCAAAGTCTTGGAAATAATTAACTGCAAAGGAAAGAATTCCATCTCAAATTTCTGCTGACTGACGACACAGGCAATTTATGATGCCACAAGAAGCTCAGGCTAGGATTATTTCTATGTAACTCCCTATGCTGCTGCTTGGCAGCTTAGCGACCATGTTGGAAGTGACTGAACTAGATTAATATCTTGTGGATTTGAACTATAAAGTTCCATGAGTTTGGAGTTCTAGGGCTTGTCTTGGCTGAGTAAAGACTAGAACTGTGGCACTTCCAACATCCTCATCTGCCTTCCCTGTTGTCGGTAGGTGGGACTTTCTCAGCACAGATCTTCCCTTTCTCACTCAGCAGGTATGATCTCACTCATCTGTTTCCTAAGGTGAGACTGCTGAGGGTCTGACTGAAGTTTATTTAGCAGTTGGCACAATAAACATACAGGGCTGGGCTGCAAAAATAGTACATGACCAATCTTCAAAGTGCCCTTCCCATGGAACCTTGACTTGGCAGCATCAACTGGTCTGTGCTGCTGCTCATCTCTGGCTTCCTTGGGTGCCAGGCAGTGAAAATCTGATATCTGAGCAGGGTGTACAGATGTCAGAGCTGGAAAAAAGATTTACTTTCTTCCTTTCTGTGCTTGGTCTGCAAGAGGAGACGAGGCTTCTGCCCCACTAGTGATTTTGGTAGAGAACCCAGAGATGGCACTTCCGCAGTTGATGACTGTGGGCTAAATCCCTGTTTGGTTTTTTTTTGCTTGAAAACCTGCATTGTTCTTTCTGAAATGAGATCAGCACAGGCTGAACCAAGCAAGTCCATTTTCCTGAAAGCCCTGCTATTGAAAGCGAATAATTCCTCAATAGTCAGCTGTGGGGCAGTTAGCCCTCTAATTCTGTACTTGCCTCTCTTTACAGCCTTCAACTAGCAGTTTACCCCTACCTATTCCTGGATCTATCTGATTCAAATGTGCTGTGAAGATCTGCCTGTCTTTGCGGTGCAGTTTGGGGTCATCAGATGAACAGCAAAGCTCAGTCTGTCATTGTTCATTGCAGTGTGCCACCAGCTACATATCTACAGCTACGTATCTGTGTACTGAGCAACTCTGATTCATGGCTGGTGGGTGCTGCTCTGCCAAGGAGCCCATATTCCTCTTCTTCATAAGCAGACAGCCCTGGGTGGCAAAAAGTACACACTGAAACATATTCTCTAAAGATGCAAGAAGCATCTGTTCCCTCCAGATGTTCAGTTGTCTTATTGTTTATTAGATTTGAGGACAGGAACCCCTTCAGTGATGTGAGGCACTCACTGTTCTCAGATGTTTGAGAGTGTGGGGTGGGGGGTGAGCTGGCTTTGCATGACATCAGCAAGGAATAGAAGCAGAGGTTTCATGCTTTTTGGAAAACACTTGAAAGGCCTTTGAGCTCTGGCTAATCTCCATTGTTCGTGTGTTTTCCGGCAGCAGAAAGAGAGAGGAAGAATGGAAAGAGGCAAGAGAACAGAGCTGAGAATTAGAACTGGAAGCTTTTCCCGTGGTCAGGCGAGCTTGGCAGAAGCCATCGTGGCAAATGGAACTGGATGCCACAAAATCCAGGCTTACACTTGGCTCAGATCTTAGACCCAGCAGAGCCTCCTTAGATCTGCAGGAGCTCTGTGGGTAGATGAATGTGTTTCAGTCAGCATCACTGAAGCAGACTCAAGTGCAGCTGTTGAATTCAGCTGTGGAATGGAACAGAGGATAGCACTGCACACATTTGGGAACTTTTTGCCCACAGCCATTCTACGTCTTTAATTTTTCTACAGGCTTATTTTTTTTTCTATTGTAAATTATAAACAATGTGGTGTTAGAACCACAAGCTTGGACCCAGTAACACAGGCTGTGGCACCAAGCCTCCAAAATGACTTGCACAAAGTTGCTAGTACATGCATGGCAGAGCTGGGTATTGTACCTGAAACGCACTGAATTCCACATCAAACCTTTAATCCCCTTCTGTCACATCACGTTGTATTCTAGGGCCAGTTGCAGAGTGCAGTCTTGGTCTGCCTGCCTGTCATAATATCCTTGCAGATGGTTCGATAGTTTAAGATATGTGGTCAGGTCGTTTTGGATGGAAACATTTCAAGGTGCAGTGGTATCTAAAACAGACGTGACTTGAGGAACAGAGGTAGTGTGGTTATTTTTCTGTGGGGGTTCAACCAGGCATAGCTCAGAGCAAGGTTGGAGTAGAAACCTGACATTGCCCAGAGCGATGCTATGTCCCTACACTGCAGCCCTCAGACTTTCCCGCTCAATAAGTGTTCTCTTTCCTATACACCAGCAAAAAAACTTGGTTAAAGGAGTCATTTTCAACTCAAGGTTTTAAATATTTTGTTCCTGACAGTGAGTCAATGATTTTTCCAGTCTCACCCCCACAATAAACAAGTGCAGGCTGAGTGTGGTCCAGAGGAAAATGTGAGTTGCACATGTCCTGGCCATGTGCTTCTCCAGTACCAATGATAACCATATGGTGGTTCTCAGACCCTACATCACCAACAAGTAGAAGTGTTAGCAAGAATTAATGCAAGCTCCTGCAGATAATAGATATGCAACCTAACCTTGTCTGTAGCTGCTTGCATGTGCCCAGTAAACACCTTTGCAACCTTATATGTAGTTATAGTACTACATTTGGGTACCTTACTATTTTGCCATCTCACTCACTCAGGATGTTCTCTCAACCATCACTAGCTAGATTTTTTTGTCATATTTGGGGACTGCCATAGAAACAACCCTGCCCCAAAACCAGTGCAAGAACCACAGCCCTCAGCAGGCCCTCAGCGTGTGTCATAGCACCTCCTTCTGGGGTTGGAACTTGGCCTTGGTTGGCTGCCCTCTGTTCCCTCACTTGCTCACTGTTCATCCCTTATACCCATGTAGCATCCAGCCATTGCTATGACACTGCTTGCATACCATAAATTTGCATTATTATCGCTATTTTCTTGCAGAGTTAACAATATAGCTGAAGCCCAGAGATCCCTAAAGATGTTATTCCCATCAGGTTCCTTTAAAGATCTGGTCGCAGAAGAAGTCAAAGGAAAGGAAGGAATGACTTTAGAACACCCCCCATTTGATGCTGCTGTCCTAGTTTTCCTTCCTCTGTGCTCTCCCTAGTCTTTGCTCACACTGTGTGATTTCCACATGCTTGCTTTCATCTTTGGAAACAGTTTGTGAAAGCACTCCATATCTCTCTTACCTGCACTTGTGATGCTTTATTTCAAAAGCAAACAGGAGGAGGTTCATGCATTATTTTTTTAGTGTAAATTCTCAGTTTATTAAAGCTAAGCTAAATACACAGCAAACATAAGCTTAGCTCAGGCACTAGTTCACAGGAACTTGGCAGAGGCCTGCCTGCATTTCAGAATCCTTGTCCTTTTTCTAGATGAAAGCCCTGCAGAAGGATTTGTTTTTCAGACGGAAGGCAAGCCAAGTTGGTGATTTCATCCCAAGGCAGGCTGTGTCAAGCTGGTCCTATTCAAACATGCAGGAAATCAACCTTGGAGCTCATTCAGAAATGAGGATGCAGAGTGGGGGTAGAGAGGGGGCTGTGAGGAGGACGAGATCTTGAATTTTGAAACTGAGCTCCAAACAAGCAGGAAAGATACCTGCTGTCAGTGTAATGCTGCAGGGACCCTCTGAAGAATAAATTGGCAAGCTTTTAAGTAGCATTTCTTAATTCCTAGCTCTTCCAAGAAGCAATCTCATCTTTGTCCTCATGCAGCCCTGCGAGGGCCATGCATAGCATCATAAGAGGCCAGGTGGCTACCACAGACGAGGCAAATCTTCTGAAGACATTTTTCATCTTCTCTACACCTGCCGTATCTGTTCAGGCATGGCCCAACTTCACTTTTCTTGTCACTGCATCACAAAGGGCAAAGATCAAAAGAGCCTGCAGGACCTGTGTTGCTTCTTTCTCAGTTATCTATAACCTGAAGCAGCATAGAAAGCACAATGGAGAAAAACTTGGCATAATTTTATCTGATGCTCTTCTGCAGCTGCAGAGTTGCCATTGTTCAGCAGATAGCACTCCAAGAAACTCCGTCACCATACAGCATTTCTGCTGCAGCTAATCACGTGGGAAATTAGTGAACTTGCTTGGGATCTGTGTGCAAGTGTGTATAATTCTTCATCTCTAAGGAAAACCTTTCCAGTGAGGCAGGCAGTGTTTGCTCTCACTGTTAGTAAAAACTAAGACTTGCTCCTTTGCACTTACCCTGCCTGCATAAGAACCTCAAGGACTTCAGTCCTTCCTTTCTAGCAATTGCTTTCATGGATCCAGAGTTTAGTGGTTTGGTTTTTTTAATCAAATGCTTTCTGATGTGAATAATACCAACAAAGTGTTTGCAGCTTGGCCTGGAGGATGGGAAAAATGCAAGCACCAAAAGCCAAGGCAGTTTCTTAATGTTGATGCTCATTAGGTACTTTTTAACATTAGTGGCTGGTTCTGGAATCTGCCCACGCAGGCTGGAGGCTGAGGAAATATTATTTGAACACATCTGCTCCGAGAGATACTGTCAGACTTTGGGAGCATCTTGTGGTAATTAGGAGAATTCATTCCCTAATTTGGTCCAGCAGAGTTTATTCCTGATTGTTTTATTCTGTGTTCTTTTAAAATTTTACTTTCTGCTTTGTTTTTTTGGCAGGTGAAATGCTCCCAGGTAATGTTATAACCCCGTGTTCACACAGCACCTTCTTACCTAACGAATTGCAAAACTTGGCAGAGAAGCTTGCAGCCATGAGCTCAAAGTGCAGCTCTGAGTCCTTGTCACTCACTGACTTCCCACTTACCTGTCCCTGCCATATCTTCCCTCTCCTTCCTCCCCATCTCCCAGTCCATATGTGTGCATCTGCTCTCCAGACATAAACCCCCTGCAAAACCCCAGGGTTAAAGCAGACCATTGTATGTCTTTGGCTGTCTGTGCTAAATGCTGCCCTGAGCTCTCCCCCCCAATTTCCTCTGCTTTGAGTGATGTGCAGTTTGTGGTGAAAGAAAGAGGTTTAACTGGATGGGCCAGGTGATGTCCCAGGCCAGAAGTGGCCCAGACAGCATCTGATGAAGTGAGACTGACTCACTTGCCACCTTCTTCTGTAACCCTCACTTGGAAGCCACATTTCCTCACTTTATTACCATCATCTTCCTCTTCATTTCTGATGGTCTTCCACAGGCAGGGTGGTTCCCATCCTCAAACTCAACCTGTCCTTCAACTCAAGGCTCAAACCTCCAGAAACATTCATCTCCCACGTGAGAAGAGTTCCTTTACAAAGTAGTTTAGAGAAGAGGACAGCTTTAAAGCCCTGTGCTTTTTTTCTGAAAAGGGGCCTTTAATATGGTTTAATTAAAAGGTCATCCTGCAGAGCTCATTTGATGTCAGCTTTGAAATTCTGTACATTTTGTTTCCATTCTAATTCTTTTGTATGCTTAAATCTGTACATTTCCAAATAAGGTTTTTGTGTGCTCGCCACAGATCTCTGTATTCACTCCTTGAACCTTAATGCTTTTTGTAGCATTGAACAGTGACAGAGTTATGTTAACCTCTCTGCCTCACCAGGCACATTTGTTCCCTCAAAAATCAACACAGCAGCCATAGGCACTGACATCTGAAACAGTCCTGCTGCTCCTTGTAGCACTGAGTTTCTCTTTAGGCTATGTGGGTTATGCCTTGCAAGGAATCACAGAACAGAAAAGCAGATCCTCAGGAAAGGTGAACCCCTAACTAGGAAAACATAGGCTCTTGTGTGCTGGTTTTTTTGCTGTCCTCTCAGCCAGGCTTGGTTCAGAACGAGGTAAGTTTTTCCCCAATCAGCCTGATAGGCTAAATGTGGGCACCAGGTGCTGCATAAATACTGCTCGTTACAGCAGAGCTGCCTGTGCTTTTTCACTTGGTGAGCTTCTGTAGTTGTTTCTGGGGGTACAGAGGGTTTTAGGGGAGGAATTAGTAAAAATACTAAAGCAAAGCAGTGGAGATCAAACAGGAATATGTTTCTGTAGGTGGATGCTGGAGGCTCTGGCTGGAACTTCTCTACGTCACATCCAGGAGATTGAACTGTTGCTTTCAGGAATCCATGGTTGGAAACGTGCAGGAAAACTACTGTGGAAAGTGAGTAATGCAGCATAATATTAAAGTACAAATGTTATTTGAACTGGGGTGGGGAGATAGGGCTGTGTTTTCATTCAATTGCACTCTGGAGAGTAGGTGCTTGAGAGTTAAGGAATTGATTCTCTGCTGGGAGATAAGGTGAGGGTGCATGTTGCAGGCTTTGAAAATTGCTGTGATAAAGTAAATGTTATATATGAAAACTCTGAGCTGGAACAAAGATCCAAGAAAGCTGCAAAACTAATGTGGGATCTATTGCCCCTTCACCCTCAATTGCTTAAATTCCATTTGTAGCTCAACCAGCTGCTAGAGCCCTTCCCTAGGTGACCAAAGATCTAGAAACCCTCTTCTCCCACCCAAGTGGGAAGAGACCATATCAACAAATAGCTGCCTTGAGGTACTACTGCTTTTATTAGAGATCTGTTTTGTAGCTAGGCAGGTGTGCTGGGCAGACAACGCAATCAAAAAGTGCTCTAAGTGCTGGGGAGCTTCAGTGAAAGGTAGGAGAAATAATCTACTTCTGCATGAACTGCTTAAGATGCCTGGGAGGTGTGTTGGGAGGTGCTGCCTCGTTCTGTGCTGTGTTTGTGTAAGAGCTGGGATCTGAGTAGTTTTAATTTTATTCCTACCCTTATGTGCTGTGCATAGATCATTTAAAAAATAAAAATAAATCAGTGAAGTGGTTGCCCAGTGGAGGTGAAAGCTGCTTACCTGACATGCACAATAAATAATAATGGGAATTAAGTCGTGTGTTTCATAATTGCTTCTGCTGTTCTAGATGGTGAAACTGTGCCATGAAATGGTGGATTTATTTCACCTGTTTCTTAGCACACGTGTTATTTTTCATATGGCTTTTCTGTTTGCTATCTTCTGCTTTTGGCAGCAAAATGGAAGGCAATGGCTGCTCAGGATCCATTGGTGTTCATTTTGTGGCCTTTGAATTAAGGGGAAGTCTTTCTGAAGCCTGGGGAAGCTGTGCTATGTTGCAGTGTAGCTCTGCTGATGGAGGGCCCTCCTGAGGAAAAAGGAAATGAAGACAGTGGCTACAGGGCCTGTGTCATCTCTGTTATCTGGTACCAAAAAAGGAGTGGTTGTCATGGTTACTGGCCTCCCCTCCTGCCACTTGTCTTCTCTGGAGCCTCGGGCTTGGAGCAGGATTCAGTGTTTCTCTCCTGTTGAGATGTTGCTGTGATCCAGGCACCCTGAATGTCAGACGTATCTGCTTTGGCATGCTCCTGTGACACTTGTGTGCCTGCACATCTCGAGCATCTTTGGTGTTATATGTTCCTACTGTGGGCTTTTCTGTTTGAATCTGACCCCCTCCCCCCCTTTTTTTCCTTCTGAATACCACCAGAAGAAGCTTCAGTGTAGGGTGAGCAGGTTCCAAAGGACTTATGTGAATTGTGATGGAGCTCCATGCAGCAAGGGGATGGCAAGGACAGCAGCAAGCCTTACTGTAGAAATTCTTGGAGTAGGAGGAAGGTGAGGAGTCTCAAAGGAAACATGAGGTCATTTCCCTTTTAACATAGTACATTGCAGAGATAGTTTAACAATTAATCAATATCTAAATCTGCAGTCCATTATGGAGCTTGGCAATGTGTTATTTTATAGTCTAACAAATGGAAGCCTGCCTGTGCTAGTAACTTGAATCCCTGAGCTACAAGGAAGGTTACCATCACATGGCAAGTGGTAACTTGCTCCTCCCTGCTTTTTTTTTTTTCTTTCTCTCAATTACATTTACCATTTATGGAAGATATTCTTCCAATTAAAATGATGAAGACCCAAGGAATTCTCTTTCCCCTTCTTTATTTTAAACTTTTAAAGTAATAATCATTACTAAAATCTGGGAATGAGGGGCAGGGAATCTCTCTGCATAGGCAGCCAAGTGTTACAACACTGCCTTGGCTGCAGGCTCCGTGGCTGCTGTTGAGCCCTGTTGTAGCCCATGCTGGAACATCTGGTCCATCTCATGATGGATGGTCAGGACGAACACTGGGCAGTGGAGTCTGGTCTTGACTGCTGCACGAGCTTCTAGACTGTGGGGGCTGAACAGCTGTGTCCAATGTACTGAGCACAGAGCTGGGTGTCTGCGTAGCTTGAGACAGTCCTGGGGAAGGAGCTCGGGTTGCAGGGCTGTGCTGGGAGGTACAGGCTGTGAATTGGCATCCTCTGTCGAGCATCTGAGCGTGGTCTTGGACTTGTAGGTTGTCTGGGCTTCCCCAGCTCTATGAGTAAGGTCCCAATGAGGTGTTCTTGGCAGGACAGAGGTATGTATGTGGGCCCTGTGGTTAGGGCAGTGATTGCTTTCTACCTTACTGGCACTATAGCCGATGACTTTGGCTGGTGTTTATTCCTCTACTCTGCTTACCTGGTTAAAAACAAGCCGTTTGGCTTGCCTAACTTGCCATCTCCTCTCAGGAAGAGAGAGGAACAAAACCCAAATGTTTTCTTCTTGTGTGTGTGTGTGCGCCTTCCTCCTTCTCCAGAGAAACAGATCATGCTTCTGTAACTTTTCTCTAGAAGTTTATTTGGAGTAGCAGGCAGTGAGCAACTCTGGACTCTCCTGTTAATTAACCTGAGCTGTCTCGGAGATGGGGAGGGAGGTGGGCTACTGCATTTATTTCAGGGGTTATCAGTGAACAGCATCACAGGACTGCGAAGGCATCAGTCATTTAATTAGCATTAACAGGGCAATTATTATCTTAATAAAATGACTGATTATGACATTGAAGTTGTATTTGAGGTTTAACAGCTGCAGCAGCCTGACTGAATTGTGTGTTTGTTAATCCCTCAATGAGGGTGTTCTATTTCACTGAGTGATGTTTATTTAACGTGCAATAAGTGTCTTAGTGAATCTCTATTAAAGGCACATGTGGAAACCTTAATTTGAAGCATTACAGAGGAGAGCAAGACTGTTCAATTCATAAAATCCTATTTAAACATTGTGAGTTCCAAACCCATCTAGTGCCAAAGCAAACTGTATCCTGTAAGTCCTTTGCCAGATGTCTCATGTGGGGTATACTCAAGGTCCAAAGAAAATAAGGTCTGAAGGGAACAGTTTGGCCATTGAATCTCCAATCCAGCCTATATAAAGGGGTTTCGTTTCCATTCAGGAAATACAAACCTCTTCTGTATGGATCCTGTTCAAAGTGTGTTTGCTGAACAATTCTTCCCAGCAGCAGTGATTCTCAGTAACACCCACGCCTGTGAGCAAGGCTAGATCTGGTGGAAAGATTTTGGAAGTACGCTAAGCCTCTCTGTAAATATCTGACAGAGGTCTCTAGGTGCTCTGTGTGCCACCTACTACTGTCTAACCAACTGTTAGCTGTTCCGACAGTGTTCTGGGTCAGACCTAAGACTTAACAAACAAACAACCCTCAAATTTGCTGTGTTTTCATCTCCTGTGCTCTCTGACTGTAGGTAACTTGCAGCTGCTTGATGCCATGGTTCCTAGCACTCTAAGCAATGTGCTCCAGGGTGGTGTGGAATTAACATCTGAGAGACTGAGATGATATCCCTGTAGATCCTGTCTGCACTCTGAGCCTGACCTGCTTCAGTCTGAACGTCTCTGGTATTTTGCAGGTAGGTGCATGTTCATTTTGCCTGTGTTCGGAGACTTCTGGACACAAACCAGTTATAAACTGGCACCCTGTAGTAACAGTGAGCTCAGCTAAGAGGCGAGATCCTTTAGTGCTAACTTGGTACCAAGTTAGTGCAGGCACAGGACTTCCAGTTGGCTTAGATGTAGATGCACATGTATAGGCATGGCAAAAACAGCGTCTTGAGCTCTTCTGAGCTCTTTAGAAATTCAGCTTCACATCCAAGCTTTTGGACTCTGATGCCAACTTTCTAGGTCAAGACATCACTTAGCCATTGAATCAGAACTCTACTTTCCTTCCATCTATGTGTGAACTCTTCCTGCAGGGTGAAGAGAGGCATGAGTAGTCCTGGCAGTCTTTACAGCATGAGCTGTGTTGCTTTGAGTGAAATGCAGTCATTACAGAGGGAATGACACTTGGGGCTCCTGGAGCTGGCCCAGCTCTGCACTGGTTCCTCAGGTAAGTGCTGGCAAGCTGTGCTATCTGTGAAACATGTTTGCTGGTATGAAGCCTTCATGTCTGTATGAGATCATCTGCAGCAGTAATGTCCTGTGTGTTTTGTCATTACAGAGGCAGTTCTGAGCTACTGTCCTGTCTTTAGAGGAAAATGGAGGGCCTGAGAGGATTGCCTGGGGGTTCAGTAAGGCAGTGGCAGGTGGCTTTATAAGCTGTCTTTCATCCAAGAAACTCAGCTACCCTTATGTCAGAGGCTATTCACATCCTGTATGGGCAGGACTGTCTTCTCGCTCATCTCTGGTGGCTCCTGTTGTCTCTCCCTCATGCTGTGTTTCAGCCATGGTGTAATGTATGGCTGAAACCCCCTTCTAGCTTCCTCCTGCTGAGCTCTCTTTGCTGTGCTGACCCTGTACCTGGCCTAGGTGCCAGCAAACCCACCAGTAAATTCTATAGCTCCCTGCTCTGATGTAATAGCATTGCTTGGAGTGGGAATTTGCTGTCCAAGAGTGGCAAGGTTTCTGGCCCTGTAAAATGGCTTGGCTGTGTTCAGCAATTTCCCTTTCCTGGCTCTTAATTTATTCAGAGCAGCAAGCCAAATAGACTCATAGGCACAATCGAAACATGGGATAAATATTCTGAGTGGCTTGATCTATAGGAACAAGCACATGGGGGAGGGAATGAGTTCATCTCCTCTGTGCTCCTGGCAGGGCTGTTCCTACATCTCCTGTGTGCTGCAGTGGGGTGATAAGCTGGTTGCAGGGAGGATGTACTGTCCCTTCCCTGGAAGAAGAGACTCATCTGAGCCTTCCTCTTGGGAGCAACCCTTGGTAGGCAGCTAAAATTTTCCTTTTCCTCTCATCCCATGACTGCTAGGGAATATCCAGCCCCTTGCATTGTCCAGAATAATTCCACTGTCCAGAGGGTTGGTGTGTTTCAGCATCTGTAGGGTGGCTCTTCCCTGCAATTTCCCTTTTGGCTGCTTTTTCCCAGGTTGGTGCCTCCAGCCCCTAATGATTTCTTTTGTTCTTGGAGCAGCAGGTTCATGCAACTTCTCTGTAAGCATGTTTGTGTATTAAACAGGGGTAGGGAAGGAGCAGAAATGTTCTTCAGTCCAAAAACATCGCTGGTAACAGAGCAAAAAGTAGATCCTACAACCCTGGTTTCAAAGGTGTCTTAACTTGTTTTCTAAAGCTATCTCCAGACTTTCCAGGTCTGTCAGTTCCATTTTAGAAAACCTGAAGGTTGTCACTACTCGTGACAACTCGTCTGTCTACCCGTCTGTCCCAAACAGACGAGCAAAACTGGTGTGAGCTGAGGTGCAGTGATTGGGATCAGCCGTTGCAAAAGGCACCCCATGAAAGGTGACAGGATAACATATCATTCCACAAAAGATTTTGATCTTCTGGCACAGACACGAGGAGAAGAGTGAACAAGAACTACGTTCAGAGGTCATCCTGGTTTTGAGAGAGGAAACAACTCATTTCTGATGGGAAGTATTTTGGATTTCACTTGCTTTCTATTGCTGTCTGTTTCCCAGCTCAGACAACTGCTCTGTTCTTCAGTGTGCTTGCCCAGAGCTGTTGTATACGACTGTTAAACAGTGTTTAAACAGCCATAAGCCTGTTTATTTACTGAGGCTATAAATTATCTTGAAATCGGAATTCATCATACTGCAAATACCATGTTTCAACAAGCAAGCTGGCGCTCTGCTAGAATTGCAATCTAATAGCCCTCCTCGCTGCTCTGCCAAGTTGCTGTCAAGGGCAAGTGTCCTTGCACGGGTAATTGCTGCCTTACAGAGATCCTGGTAGACTCAGAGTTGATGCCTTTGGGTTTATCTGCTGGTGTATCAGGGAATATTGTGGTCGGTCAGTGCAGGTCTCTGATGGCTGCGGCGTGTGTCAGAGTTAACTCGCGCTTGTCAGGGTTTGCCATTAAATGAATGGGCTATCCAGTCAGTATCTTCCAGGCATCAACACCAGTTGTTTCCAGGATGTGTGAAAAGCTGATGATAATCAAGGAAGGAACTTTTCCCAGTGGGATTTTCTTCCTCTCTCCAGGTGGTAATAGGTTACTGTTCCTGGAGCAGGCAGCTCTTAAACAGCAAAGCCAGTAGCATCCTGTACAGTGTTGCTGGGTATATTTCTTTGATTATTTGCTCTCCTGAAGCTGTTGATGTTGTGAGTGACTAAAAGGATCTGTCTGAAAACACCTGAACTCGACACTTGCACTGTACAAAGTGTGAATTTATTGTCAGATAATATTTGTCTGAAGTGTTTCATCTTGGAGATTCAACCAGTCAATATTAACACCCATCAAAAGCAGCTGCTGTGCCCTGACTGTTGCACAGAGTGTAGGTTTTCCTGTAGATGCTGACATTTCTACTCACCTCAAGCTGAGTGTGGTCCTGGTGGTCCAGGTCCTGACTGCTGCTGCATGAGCTGTGTTGATTGGGTTGGCTCATTCTGTGGCAGGTTGATAGCAACAACCACTCATCTACTTACCTGTTCTGTACTGTGTGAGTTGCTTTCACGCTTCTGGAACCATGCGAACTGGAGATGGGAAAGATCTGAGGTCATCCAACTTCTCCATTTTCCCCACAATAGGGAAGGCTTGTTCCCTTCCACTAATTTTTCCTGTACTTGGTCCAGTTTTAAGTGACTCAAGCATCAGAGCTTTTTTTTTGCTTCCCTTGGGAGGCCTGGTGGATTTCTCACTATGAGAAATGTTTTCCTCATTTTTCCACCTGATCTGTTCCTCTCCCAGATTCCACAGTGGAAGAGAGCATAAAGCTACAGTGGGTTAATGCTCATCATGTTATTGGAGAACTGGTTAACTCTTCTGGTGTCACTTTGATGTTTGTCCTGAAACGAAAAGGCTTTGGATAGGAGAACATCATGATATAGGGACAAGTGTCTCAAAGACTGGCAGGCATTGATAGTTGGGGTAGTTTGAGCACCAAGGCCTGTTGGTCTTCCTGGAAATTAGAGGTTTGTGGAAAGGCTTCTTCTATAGCCTGTAAGCATATCTCCAAATGGTGAAAATGGGAAAGATTACCCTTGGAATGTTGAACTAAATGGCAAACTGAACATATGGCAATAGCTGTTCTTTACTCTTGGCTTTGCTTGTGCCTAGCACTTAGTCGAGAATCCTGCTTTTTCTTAACAATCTGAGGATTTTCCCATGGTTTGCTTTCTTTGCTTATCCTCCTGCGCTGCCAATGCTGTGTAACCAGTAGCTCAGCTAATGCTGAAGTCGTTCTTAAAACATCATCTGCTAAATAGATGGGTTATGATGGGATAAAGCTACCTTCCATGAAGGATGGGTGGGATCAGGCCTTGGAGATGCTGTCAAATGGGAGCCAGTATGAGAAGGGGCAAGTAAATATTTAACGTGTAGTTGTGCAAGGGACAAGACTAAAATAAAATGTGATAAAGGCAGAAATGTTAAGGGTGGCACTTGGTAGTGGTTGGGAGGTGTGTGGTAGTGCAATACATTGTGTGATGGGGAGCTTTGTTTTCTGTCAGGAGTCACCCAGGAGGCTGCTTCATGCTTTACCCGAATTGACAGAAGGCTGTTTGACACCATTCTCTGCTGTGGTTTGACCAGAGGTAGTGGATGATCTTTCACTCGCATCTCTTGTGGTGAAACAGAGGGCAGCTGGTGGGTCTGTGGTCCCTGCAGCCCAGTGCTGCATGCCAGCCCTGCTGCTTTTTGTGTCCTTGGAAAGAAAAGCTGCCCTGCTCTGATGAGAACCACAGCCATGCCACTTGTGTGGTGGCAAAGCCCAAGAACGTGACTAATTGGTAACATAAAGAACCACCTTCCGTGCAGCCTGATTCACCCGATTCCTTACACAGACTCACTCTTTCCATCAAGGAATATTTGATAATGCAGCGCACACTGCTGAGATCACCCTTCTGGCAAATGCCTGCTGTGGTATGAGACCCAGTCATCTGGCAGCACATTGCTTACTGCAGTCTCCACGGCAACCCTCCATGCTGTTCTTCTTTGGAAGCTCTGCGCATTCGTAAAGAAGCTGTCATCCCTCTTACTGTAAGTGCAGCAGATGTGAAAGATTTCACCTGTGCCAATGAACCCCAGGATGCTGCTGCTCAGAGGGGCAGTGCTGCGTTAGGTATAAAGCTCCTCTCTGGAAGGCACTGTCCATCCACTTGCATGGCATTACAAAATGTCTCCTGCTTTGTGCTCTGAGCCTTTTAACGTGCCTGTAGCCAACAGTGTTTGCACAAAGAGACTGGGCTGCTGTGAGGATTGCAGAAGACCTCTTCTGAGGCACAGCCTTGCAGTGCTGACGTCTGCCACAAAAAGAATTCATTTCGGAAGCCTGGTCCCAAGGTGGATTGAATGGTCCTGCACTAAAATGTGAATGCTTCTGGTATGGAAACAACTGAACTGCAGTGTGGACCCTCGTGTTTCAAAGAGGCTTCTCTGTTTCTTCTGAGCTGCCAGTTGTGTTGATAAGGAGGAGCAGCCATCTTCTGTGTCGTGGATGCTGAACCTGGCTGTTCAGAGGGGCAGTTGTCTGCCTCCACTGTCCCATCAGCAGTCCTCTGGGGAGAGGCTGTAAATCAAATAGGGTGGATGTCTTCTCTTCTGCAATAGGTAGGCCTGGTGTATTTCAGTGCTAATAGATAGAAATCCACTTTATCAGTGTTATGCTGGCCAATACTAGAACTCAGTCTGGAGCTGTAAGGTTTCAGGTTTATATTTTCTCTTACGTCTGTTTTTCTGACTGCTCTAATGCTCGTGCAGAAATCAAGGACTGGTGCTTTCTTCTTGCTAAGGGTATTGCAAGTCTTTGGGGTGAGCAAGGTAGGAGGGAAAAACTCCATGCTCTGAGCATGGAAAGGACCACGCTTCCTTGCCTCCCTTGGTAGATGATGCGTACACCTGGACCAGAAGAATTGTTCATCTTCAAAATGGGCATCTGACTTTATTCCTGGTTGTGGTGGTGGTGTTTTTCTTTAGGGTCATCAACATACAGCAAGAGACTCCTCTTCTTGGAGGAAGCCCAAGCCGCCATCTCAGAAGAGCGGCTGAACCATATAACAGCTGAAGTTAAAACAAGGCGACTGCAAGACCTGCCTCTGCCAAAGCATCTCGTGTTCCCTGTGGGTGACAGTGAGCTCTTTATTTATAAAACTGCTGTCACTTTTATTTCCCACTGTGAGCTCTGAGAGGGATAGCATTAGGTTAGGTGAGAGCTCTGGTTTGCTGTGCAGGAGGTTTACTTGTCTGCCCTGTGTTGAGTGGCAGCTGCTGGAAAGCCCTCCCACAGAGTGTTCAGCTTTTGCCTTTCTGTCAGTCTGCTTCTGAATCTGGGCAGCTCACCTCTGTCCCTGCTTTGCTGTCTCAGCCCTGGGTTTCTCCTGAGATGGCTGCCAACTGTGCCAGACAGCTGGGATGCACGTGTTCAATCAGGTGCTTTCTGTGAACTCTGTAGCTTCTGCCATATCTGTCAACAGTGTCACTTGACATTCCCCAAAGGCTGGAGGGGAGGCGAGGTGTCTTCCTCTTGCTCTAACACTTGTGCTGCAGAAGATAAGGCCTACTCTGCCCATGATCTGAGGAGCCCCAGTCCAGGAGCATCAGCTAGGTTGGAGCTGCTGATCACAGAAACGAAGGAGGACCAATTTGTTAAGAGCAGTGAGCCTACAGCCATCCAAAGGTGAGTAAGTGTATAGTGTAAAGTCTGCTGTGTGGGTTGAGGTTATTCATCTTAAAGGATGGTCTTCTCGTTGTGCGTGTCCATGGAACGGCCAGGCTGTGTAAATAGGTTTTACAAGTAATTGTGTGGGATGTTTTCCTTTGATTCAGAGCTTACATACTTTCTAGCTTGTATTAAATGATGCATGTTATGTCAGATGTGCTGCATGAGCTGTTGTGGTAGGTTTAAGTGCTGGGCTATGCCATGCAGAGGATGGCAAGTGTAAGCCCATTCTTCCTTCCAAATAGTACCTAAATCCCACGGTATCAGATGCACCCTGTATTGAAATGAAGCACCTTTTGGGTTCTGTCAGCTTGTTTCTATTAACGTGGAGCAGCAGGAGGGCTGTTTCCTCTGACACGTTGCCACTTGGAGGCAATCATCTGAACAACAGCACAGAGGAATGATTTGGGGCCTCCTGGTTGAACTGGGAAAAACATCAAGTGGGCTGCTGGAGGAAACTCCTTGAGTTGTCCCTTCAGCCCAAGCAAAGGGACTCTATGGGTCACTTCCCCCCACAGTACCTCATTTAAGTACCTTGCAGGCAAAGCCAGCTGCTATGGATTGCTTAGCTCTCTTCTCCATCTGGTGCTGCCTACACTTGTTTCCCTTTCTTGCCTGCTCCTTCCTTTTCTCTGCACTTGTTCCCCTTGGCTCCCTCCCCTTTGGCCTTTGGATTTCTCTCGTCCTCCTCCTGGTGATGTTCCAGGAGCATTTGTGCCTTGGTGGAGAGGGACATCTAGTGGGGTCTGAGCTCCAGGGCACAGCTTGGTTTAATCTTGCTTTTTTATTCATTTATTTTTTTTTTCTTCATGAAGAAATGACTTCTGTAGGAGCAGGAGCTGAACTCTGAGTAGTCCTGTACTGTTTGCCTTGGGGCACAGAGGGCATCTGGTAGGCCAGCTCATTGCGTGACTTTATTTTCGTGCTGTTCTGATGCCATGGGAGTCTTGGCTGGGATTTCCTTGGTTTCTCTGATGGCTTTTAGTACTGCACAGGACCTACTTGTTCTGGGTGCACCCAGAACTCTGGTAGCCCTTTCACCCCCACCCCCCATTGCATGTCTCACAGTTCTCCTCGGGCTGATCTCTAACTGCAGGCTTTGTCTCTTACTGAAATCCTGCTCTTGGCACTCCTCCTTGGCTTGCTTTAATGGGCTGCAAGAAGCCAGCAATAGCAGCAGGGAAGAAAGCACGTGAGGGGAGAGATTGCTGTGCTCTCGTGTGAGGCTGTAGGGAATGGAGGGGGAGGGAATTTAGGGAATTAATTGTGCCTCATCACTGGAGTCCCAAGCCTGGAGGTCTCCAGTCCTGATAGAGGCTTCCAAGCTTGATGTAGCTTAGGGAGGTGCAGCACTGTGTTGGCACTCACCAGGCTGCAGGAGATGTGAGCACAAAAGCTGGGCAAGGAGGGAAACAAAGCAGTAATCATGCTGCTCCAAAGCAGCAAGTGCTTGCAAAGCTTTGGGGTAGGGCAGTTCTACGCTGGTTCCTTCCTTTTGTCTGTACAATACTCTGACCCAGGTTATTGAACCCTGGAGGCAGGCTTAAGGGTGCTGGCCTTTCTCTGCCAAGGTGAAGGTGCTGCTGGAGTCATAGCTCAGCCATCCATTACTGTTTTCAGCTCTTGTCCCAGCCACTCCAAGTTCTGCATTGCCAAACCCTCAAGACTGACTGCAGTGCAAACACAACTCATCTCGAGTTACAGGCACAGTAAACACACATCCAAAGCAAGGATCAGTGTGGTGTGTTTTTTTTTCCCCTGCTTGCCTCCTTTGTGTATCAGATGATGATATCCAGGGTTTGCAGTCTCCCCTTCTGGTGTGGGTGGCACTGGGAGCCCACAGTGGTGGGAGGAAGGAGCTTTCCATTGGAGGCAGGCTCACAGCAGAAGTGAATGTAGCCCTTTGCTGGTAGTTAGTTTCTGGTTACATTATGTTTGGGGCATAAAGGAAGCGTGCTGGCAAAAGCAAGGACGAAATGAATGCTTGAGCCAAAAAGGCTTTTAAGAAACCTTCTTTCTCTTTCCCCAGTAATTCAGGGCAGATGATGCTTAGTGCAGAGCCTGCCGTGGTGATAGCTGAGAACGAGCACTCATCTGTGCTGCCTGGAGGTAAGGCTGTCGCTGAGCCCACCCACTCCTGGGTGAGGCAGGGCTGCTGGGTTTCCATCTCTCTGATGCTGTGTTTGTTTCTTGCCCATTGCAGTGGTTTGAGTGCTGCTGGTCTAGAAGACTTCGATCTACTCTGTGGAGGAAAGGCTCTGTAGCAGCCTGGGTGGGTGCTGACAGGTATTTGTTTGATCTTCTCTTGTTTCCGAAGCTGGGTTATTTGTCTGATTGCATGAAGAGCTCGTGGGGGATGATGGGCAGAGGACTCTGGCCTGATCCAGCCTTGCGAGGCAGCACAAAGCTCTAAATATTGGGCCGTTTTTCTGGTCGTTGTCCTCCCTTAACTCCTGCAGGAGTTCAGGGGTGCAGTTGTACTTGTGGCAAACTGTACCCATTTGTGCAGTGTGCTGCAGCTGTTAAACTGCTGCAGTTGTGGCAGGCATCTCCCAGTGCTGCAGGTGGAAACTCCGCAGCCAGAAAGGCAGCTGTAGCCCCAGGGCAGGTTTCTGTTCTCATGCTGATGAAGGGGATTCAGAAAGCAATTTTTCTTCCTGCCTGCTCAGCAAAGAGCCTGTCCCCACAGGGGCTGAGCCCCTCTCAGCATGAGCTGGGTTAGGAGGTGGGGAGCAGCGACTTTGGAGTTTGGATGACTGACTTTTCCCTCCTGGTTCTGTCCTAGTGAGACAACCAAGAGAGGATTTGCCTGCACTGGACCAGGATCCCACCCAGCAGTAGCATTGGACAGAGGGTCTGCACAGAGGTAGGAAAACCTGCAGGAACCACAAGAGTGGGTGTGGGGAGAGGGGAGACTTCTGGGCAGCTCAAGCTCCCACGGAGAGCTGTGTGAGCACCCCAGCAGCTTTGGAGATGTGAGCTGTGCTTATGGCAGCTTCCTTGTATCTTCTGGGAAAACAAGAGGTGCTGAGCCAGGCCAGCCTCAGGAGGAGCACAGCAGCAAGCTGCGTGCAGCTGCCTGCTGCTTCCCTACTCGTGTGCATGAGCTGTGATGTGACTACAGCCAGTTCTTGTTCCCCTGCAAGCATCCATCCTTCAGGTTGGGGAGCAGTTTCATGCACTGCACCCTGCTTGTTCTGCTCCAGTCTGAGTGTTTCTCCTCCAAATGCTGAGAGCGTGGCCAGAACCAAGTGCTGCAGCTGTGGGGTCACCCTGGCACACAGCCCACGTGTGAGTGTTTTGTCACGGACCCTGGTCAGTGACTGCCCAGAGTAAACGCTTGTATCTGTGCTTACACAATGCTGCAGCATACAAAGATGTTTCTTTGTCTCCTTGTAGGGAGAAGTGAGGCACAGGCCCTCCCCTATGAGCCCTAGCAGCTGTGCTTCTGGCACACCCTGGCCAATGCATCACCTTGCCAGCCACATCTGCCTCTGCAGCACTCTGGTGAGACTATGAAGCAGTTAAAATCCTTCTGTCCCCCAGACAAAGAAGTTGGCAGGAACAGAGAGCAGCTGTGTGCTGCACAAATCCATCTGCACCCTGTGTCCAGGCTGGACTTTGGATTTCAGAAATGGTTTGGTTGTGAGCTGTTGGTGGCTTGTAGTATTTCTATCTTTTTTCCTTGCAGTGTCTCTTGGGGTGTGTGGTTCTTCTTTTTTTCAGCTTTTCTGCTTTTTCCTTAGGGTTTGCTTTCCTGGCTGCAGGAAGCAGTGCAGCTGAGCACACAGAGCAGTCCCTGTGCCAGCCATAGAAGAAACTGCAGCAGCTCAGTGCTGTCCCTGTGTGTTTGCAGGTGGGAAGCTGTTTCCAGCACTGCCTGTGACAGCACCTCTTCTAGTACAGCACAAAGGAGCTGTGCCTCTCTGGACTGGAATGGGCTGGGGGCCTGAGGATGCCCAAAGCTGCAAGTCAGAGCCTGGTGCAGCTGCTGAGATAGGGAAGAGGTAAAGGGTGTTGGAGTACTTCCATTTGTGACGCTCAGCCTCCTCCTTGGACAGCTATTCACATGGAAATGAGTTTGGGTTGGAGGGTCTGTGCTGCAGATTTCCTAGAAGAGGAATGGTTACCCAGAAGCCCATGAAGAACCACCCAGACCAGGTATTATAAAATATCCCAGTTTATTAGAGCATTTCCCTTTCATAGAGAGTCTTAAAAAAAAAATGTATTTACAGATAAAGATTTAACTACATTCACTGGGAGTGTGTTCTCCTAGGGTCAGGACTGGGCTACACAGGAAAAAGAAATCACATTCAGCAGTCACATTGTTGCATTTTTCCTTAAAACAGTAAAAAGAGTGGGGGTATCTGACAGCTGGGGAGCAGGCCCAGCTAACCTGTTTTGTTTCTGCAGGGGCCGAGCTGTGGGAACACCCCTCCCTGTCCCTGGAATCTCCCTGTGAGGATGAAGTCATTGCTGTATGATGGGTGCTGCACAATGCAGCAGCTCAGTGCAGTGGGAATGGTGGTGCTGGGTACCAAGGAGCAACCTGAAGCATAAGGAGAAGGTAATGCCTATTTCCCTGCTCTCAGTAGCAGGGCCCTGCTTTTTTCAGGTTTCCCTTCATGCCCATGTTTCAGCTCTGCTTCTCTCCCTCAGTGCTGCACCCCTGGGCTCCTTACACAGCACTGCATGGACAGGAGAGCAGAAGTCAAGTTGGACACAGGAAAGCTGGCCCAGGACTAACAGCTTCTCCCTCCTCATCACTGAAGACCAGATGATGGATTGCTGATGACAATTTAAAAACAAATTAATGAGATAAATGAATGAGATTAAATTCATGATGAGAGCCTGTACTGAACCTCTCCCAGGAAGCCTGCTTCTAAAAACACTATGTGTTTTTTTCTTTTTTTTTTTTTAATTTTTTTTTTTTTTTAAATAAAAGTTTCTAAGTTTAATTCTCTGTTGACTGACTCTTCATTCAAGTTTGTGGTGGGAACTGCATTCGCTTACCCATAAAAAGAGAAATCAATGTGTGGAGATGTGGGGTTGGGAGGATGATGTACTGAGGGCTGTTCTCACCCAGCAGCCCGAGGTTGGGAGTCTCAGATGCAGTGAGGTAGAGGCTCACAATGGAGGCAGTTCCTCAGGCAGTGCCTCACAGCCCGCGTCATCCCCCCCAGTGCTGTGCAGGAGCTGGCTGTGTCTGGGGGTTGTGCACATCCCTAGAGCCCTGTCTGCTCCTTGATCCATGGCCGCAGTGCTGTCAGCCGGCTGTAGACTCCAGGCTTGTTTCTCTGTGCACAGCCATCCCCCCAGCTCACAACACCAGCCAGGAACATCCGCCCGCTGTCCTCCACGCTGACCAGGGGCCCTCCAGAGTCTCCCTGCACAAAAACAAACCACACCATAAATACAAAACCATTAAAAAAAGTTGTTAAGTAAATCACAAAATTGGTATGAAATAATTTGATTAATTAAAGTCCTACAATTTCCTGCTCAATCCAATTTACAAAACCAGTCCAAAATGCCAGAATAAGAACAGCTAAACAAGTCTAAACAAGTGGCCTGTCTTACTAAGCCTCTCGATAGCAGTGAGCAGGCAGAGTGCAGCTGCACTGCTCTCCGACCTGGTGATCCATTTATGAGACCACAGCATGCATCGATAAACACAATTTGCTGCTGTGCATTCTGGTTTGTCCATGCGAACCCAGAAGGATCCACGTAGCATATTATTAAGTGTGGAAATGTGACTCGGTGTCCCAGAATAAAAAGTGCTGAGCAAAGAGCTGGTCGTGCTAACTAACGTTCCTGCTAACAGCAATACAGCAGAGCGCTCGCCTACCTGGCACGCATCCACGCCGCCCGTCAGGACCCCCACACACATCATGCGCTGCGTCAGCTGGTCGGTCAGCAGCTGGTTGCAGATGGTCTGATTGATAATCCGGATTTCTGCTTTCTGCAAGATGGTCGATCCACTGCCTGCAAGGACAAGAAACAGCGTAAAAGAAACAGCGTAAACACAAAGTCAGTTTAGCAGCAGTCCCCTCCACTGTACAGTCTCATATCTGTATGATTCATTCACGCCTCTGGCTCCTAATAAGTGACCAATTAATTATCAGCTGAGTCCCCACTGCAACAACTGCCTTTTCATAACACAGTTTTCCCTTGAGCTCTGGGACCTCAACTGCATTCCCAATTCCCAAGGGAATCGCATCTGATTCTGGTCTCCCAGCAAACTAAGTCACTTTAGTGCTCACCTCCTTCCGCAGTCGCTCCCCATCCCGTCACCCACAGGTCCTTGCCCACGGGGAAGTTGTGCGTGGAATCGGGCAGGCAGATGGGCTGGACGACAGAGGAGAAGGTGACAGGGCTCTGCAGCTCCATCACAGCAATATCGTAGTCGTAGGTGTAGTCATTGAAGTAGGGGTGGGAGATGATGCGCTTGATTTGCTTCACTTGCACATTGGCGTCGTTGCGTTTGCTTTGGTTGGTCAGGCCCAGGTAGGCTGTCCACAGGCTGACATCTGAGTACCTGCAGGAGTCACAGGGTACAGGCAGTGTGAGACTTGCTGTGCAGAGCCAGCAGACACCCCAGCTCACAAACTGCCTGCTATCTTCAAAAGTTTCCTTGACAAGTGCCTCTACAAATCTTTCTGCTTATTCAGAAAAGCAAGTGGCTGAAAAGGGAAGTGCCACTGCCTGGGCGACCTGTCAGCCCAAATCCCACCACCTATCAATCACTGTAGTGCCTGCAAACACAATGTGGGACTGATGTGACACCTCAACAAGTAAACAGTGTACTCCAACTATCTATCTGCTTCCACTTCAGTACAAGGTTCTCCCCCAGATCCATCTGTCTCTGACAGTGCTAAACCAGGCAGCCCTGAGATCTGTTGCACAAAGTGTTCCTGGCAGAAGCAGCACCCCGGCTCCCACCTACCTGATGCCTTGAATCTGCAGGAAGCAATGTGCTGCTGACACCAGCCAGGTCTCTGAGATGAGTGAGGCTCCGCAGACGTGGCCCTGGCTCTTGGCATGGAGGCTGACCTGCCATGGCCACTCTCCCATATCTGAGTTCTGCCCACCAACAATCCGTGATTTCCTAATGTAGGAGCGGGTCCCACAGTCTGGGATGAGGAAAGAGAAGGGACACTTAGATACTCCCATTCCTGTTCACCACCCCCTCTTCCTTTCTCCAGAACAGCACAAGTGCTCCCTCCTACACCAGGGATGGCTGATGCTATCAGCTTAGAAGCACAAAAACAAATCTGTTACACTCACTGGCCAAATCAGTAAACGTGCAGACAAACCCCTGCATTCTCTGTGTAAACCCTCTTGAAACATCTTGGACAATGCAGGCACTTGGCACTCTGCTAACGAACACAGCTATTTCCAGATCCAAGCTGTTGCCTGGGGATTCTCTCTACCACACATGCTGGTTTAAGTGGCCCGGCCCAGAACCCCATGTATTCCCTTTGCTGGGGTACTCACTGCAGTTGTCCTCATCAGAATTGTCTTCGCAGTCCTTCTGCCCATCACACTCTGGGTTCTGCTTGCTGATGCAGAGCCCATTGCGGCATTTATATGTGTACGTCTGGCAGGCAACTGTTGACTGGGTTGCTGCAGGAAGGCCAAAGGGAGAAGGGTCAGTCCCAGCGCTGGGGAAACTGTGCTGATCAGGAGCCCTCCCCCCTTCTGCCCACCCCAGGACATTGCCACTGCGGGCAGAAATGCTCTCCAGGCTGCCCAGCCATAGTACACCCATAAGAGGCTGCATTTCAAGGGAGGTCCCCACCACAGCCCATCCTTGCCTTTGCTGCAGGTGCCCTCGTCACTCCCATCTCCGCAGTCGTCCTTGCCATCACACTTCTGTGTGCTGGGGATGCACTTCCCATTGCTGCACTTGAAGGTGTTGTTTGCACAACCTGAGGAGAGAGCAGCTCCTGAGAAACAGCAAAGCACACATGGTCCAAGAAAATCTGCATGGCTGCATCCATCTCTCTCTCCTCCAACATGGGTAAAGCCTCTGCAGCTACAAACACCGGTGCTTCCACCACCCCTTCACCTTTTTCAAGCCCTCAGCCCATCCTGCCCACAGCACAAGTTACTCACTGCACTGCAACTCATCACTGTTGTCACCGCAGTCGTTCACATTGTCACAGAGCCAGAATTTGGGCTTGCACCAGCCATTCTGGCACTTGAACTGCTGGTCAGTACAGGCTGAGAAAGAACAGAGAGAAATCAGGGGACAGATCTTCAATTTACCCATGGGGTCACCAGCAACACACCTGGCATCACAGGAAAATCTGGATGGTTCCTAAGTGGGAACTCAAGCACACAGAAACAAGCACACCAAAAAACATCACAACAGCTTGTGACCAGGCACAAGTACATAACCATACATGCACTTGACCTACAAAATGGTATTTCTGCTGCTCCAGAAACAAAACTATTTGGAGAGCTGCGATGTCAGGCAGGCAGTGTGGATGCTCACAGAACCCCATCCTCAGTGAAGCAGGACACCCAAATGAAAGGCATTGCCACCACCGGTGGGAAAGCACCTGGGATACCCAGACCAGAGGGGTGTCCCCACATGACAGCTGTGCCAGCAGCACATTTCTCCTTCAGAAAACAGCCCCACGCCTAAGGATAAGATCCCAAACCAGGGAATCCCATCCTCTCTAACTTCAAACAACACAAACAATAACATAATAGATAGCCCTGTGAATGCAAGAGGAAAAACTTCTGCATAAGGAATGACACCCATGCATCTGCAACTCCTGCCCAGTTCTGTAACCGAACTGAGGCTCACTGCCAGAACAAACCCAGCACAGCACCCTCAGGCACCCTGCAGCGGTGCACATGAAGAGCCAACAGGAAGGAAGGAAGAAAGAAAGGAAGGGCACTTACTGCAGGACCGCTCATCACTGCCATCAACGCAGTCCAACCACCCGTCGCAGCGCATGCTTTTCTCAATGCAGCGCCCAGTGTTGCAGGCAAACTTGCCAGGGCAGGCTGGGAGAGAGGAGAAGCAAAACAAGACGTGAGCCCTGCAGCTGGCCCCTCTGTGGTACTTCCCCGTGCTCTGAGATTCCTCCTTGCAGCATCCAATGTAAAAAACAGCTTTTCCTCAGAACAGAGGACTGCAAGGAGATCTGCAGGAAAACAAGACGTGCTCCTATCCCCAGAAAAGCATGCTTCCCAATTTACAGGGAGATAGAAGAAGTGTAGAACAGGGAGAGCCTCCAGTTATTTATCCTGCAGAACACCTCCAGTTCCCACCCACCGCCTCCAGGCTTCAACTCACGATCGCTGGAGTCGTAGGACAGGTATTCTGCAGAGAAACCAGTGTCTGTGTAGGAACGGTCTGAGTGGAACTGCACTGTTATCTTGTTGGTGCTGCTGGCCACCACAAACTGGGAACGTTCCCCACAGTACCTGATGGGAGAAAATGAACACTGATGGAGTGCCACAGATCAACACCGAGGAGCCCTTCTTAC